CATCTACCATCGCTGACTGAACACAACGAGTGATTTATCCGCCGCTACCCTTCTGTAGCAATTCAAATTATTGAATTTAATATCACTCACTCGTCGTGTCAACAGCGTCAGCAGGGGGAAGGAGGGTTTAAGGAATTTCAGGGACAACAGAGTTTATCTCAGGATTATTTTTCGATGTATTTACCTCCTTGTTATTTCTCACTCTCTTCTTTCGGCTTGTTAATGGGAACTGAGAGGGTAAGAGTGGATTTTTCGTCAGAGAAATTAATATTTCAATGATTATTGTTTTTGGTGGACCTAAACTGAAATATCTATATTTATTTTATACTTACAACACCTAGTGGCTCACATAGAACCTCTGGTACTGAAATCTGTAGATCTTCAATTGGAGGTAGATCATCGTATTCACCTTTTTCCTGATTCCTATTCGATTTCCTGAATAATATAATTCAAAATCATAATTTGTAAATGATATAAATCATAAATCATTTCATTTTCCTGAATGCATATGAAATAAAAAATACCTATTCCTTGTGCATTTCTTATCATTGTCCTTCACATTCTGTTCATCTTCATTTTCCGATTCCTCAGAGGAACTACTGGAGCTACTATCACTGCTACTATCACTACTACTATCACTACTACTACTACTGGAGTCTTCTGAACTATCAGTTTCATCATCCGAATCTTTAATACGATACTGATTATTTTTATCATTAGCTATTATTATCATTTCTTCCACTTGGCACTCTTCATCAAGTGTTTCCTCATCTGTATCCGAATCAACATAAGCTGCAGCTATTAATCCCAAAGAATTCGCAAGCTCAACCTTCTGATTACCAATTTCCATTCTGGCTACTCCATCATTTTTCTCTTCACTTTTCTCACATGTCCTTTTTACCAATGAGACCTCCACCGATTCGGCACCTTCATCTTCAATATATTCGAGATTATTCTCCGGAGCTACCGCAGGATTTACAATCCCTTCAAAATTTTTTCCATCGATCATTGCCAATCTTGCATCAAGGGGTGTTGAGTTATTTTTTGGAATTTCATCTGCAATCACCAATTTTTCTGATACGAATTCTTTATCCTGATCATCTTCCACTTTTTTCTCAGCATCAATCATTTCGGTGTTGACAATTTCAATCGCAAGACCTTTGTTCTTTATCTCTTCCTCTTGAGAGTCCATTTTTTTGCTGTCGTTGTTATAACCTGTGGACACTTGTCACTGATATATTTCTTTACTAAAAAATAATAGTAAAATCGATCTGTAAGCCACTCAAATCATCGATTACACTGAATTGGAATCAATAACAAGATATTGATACTGACATGATCTGTTATGATTTTATTTGAATTTTATAGGTTAGGGGCAACTGACCCCACGTGCTCCATGTTTGCAAGACAAGGAATCGGCGCTACCATTTGTCTCAATATTTTTAATTTATTTAACCATATGGTCATTATATATTATTTACATATCAGTCCACTTTTTAAATTTTTCATTTAAAAATTTGTATTTAATAATAATTTCAATTGCATAATCATTGCAAATTCCTGGAATTGTCTTTCGTTAAATAAATGATCATAAAACGATTATTGTTGAGAAAAATATATTATATTTCGTCAATCTCGATCAACAATATTAAAATAATCAAATTTTTACATTTATACATGATATTTCTAAAGCAGATATAAAGAGGCAGTATTCTAGGGGTTTCAGATTTATAATAAATTGTGGAAGGATTAACAATTTGAAGTAAAAAGATTTTCAGAATTTAAACGATCGAATAACAGGGAAGTAATTAAAATTTACAAATCCCATTCATCAACAAAGTGGAGTTGAAATAAAAATCTAATTTTAAACCTTTTAGTCCTTTGTTAAGACATTGATAATAGTTGCAATGATTTTCCTACCATTTTGATGGTTTAAAAGATTGAGTAGAGGATCTTGCATCTTCAGCTCGAGAAGTTTAACGAGCTCAGCTCGCATATTTTTAAGAAGCTGTGCAACAGTATGTGTTTCAACCTTGAAGAGAATCCAACCATCAGCAAGAGACAAGATGTAAGTTCCATTGTGCTGTTCAATATTGACTCCATATCCAGAGAACAAGACAAGAGGTAGCATGGAGACCATGGAGATGTCTCTAATATATACTTTGCTGGTTTTGACTTTCTCTTGGAAGGCGAGGTAGGGACTTGGAAAATGTCCAATGGAGAAATTGACAGAAGAGGGATGAATGAAGACACGTCCATCATTTTTAGTTTCAAGTCTGAGCTCTTCAGGTTTTGGTTGTCTGGGTATAGCACCTGAGGACTGCACTTGAAACGATTTCTCTGGAGTGGAAATCCTGACAACATTAGGGTAAAGAGCTGCGCATAATAAACCTTGAAGGAGTTTGAAGTTTTCATTATTAGCATTGAGTTCGCTCCCCGTTAACTCAAGAATTTTGTCAACACCAGTGGTCCTTTCCTTGACATCAACAGGAATAAATCCAATTCCAATGAGTAGATTCAAAAATTGGTGTTTAATATCAGCGAGAGTCTGAAGAGTTCGAACAGATAGATAATTCTCTCGTGCAAAGGCTAGGCCAACTTTAAATCCTCTAGCCGACACCTCTATCCATTTTTTATAAGCCTTCAATATTGTTAATTGATCACTAAATGCTACGGTAAACTCTTTTCTCTTGGCCTCAATCTCCCGACGTTTGTCGAATGAATATGAGAAAGGACTTTTATGAGATAAACAAGCTGCTATCGTGAGAGCTGAATCAAGACAGCAGAAGACAACACCGTAGAGGATCAACTTACCAATTCGTACATCGACAGGAAGAGTCGCTAAATGGTGTCCCAGTGGTGTCAACTGCAATTTTGAATTAACAGCACCCACATCTTGGAGTCTAACCACCGAATCTGAGATACTCTGCTCCTGCGGAGGCTCTAGAATCTTGCTGAGAATTTTATAAACATTGACGTCATCCTCTGGATTCATTTTCAAAATTTTCAGCAGTACTGGTTCCAGAGGAATCCTCAGGATTTCTGGGATTGGCTGGGGGAGTAGATGATGCTGTAATTTGTGGGATGTATAGACGTGTATGCAAACACCTGGCATTACCCTTCCAGCTCGACCTTTTCTCTGCATTGCATTAGCACGAGACACCCAGCAAGTGTCCAGGCTAGCCATATTTTGATTACTATGAAATCGAGTCTCTTTCATTCGTCCCGTATCCACGACGAATACACAATCGTCGATAGTCACTGAGGTTTCAGCGATGTTTGTACTCAAAACTATTTTTCGAACTCTTGAATGAACTTTCTGGAAAACTAAATTCTGCTCTTCACTCGAGAGTGACGAGTGGAGGAGAAGTATTTTGGTTCTGCCGGTTTGCGAAGAGAGAACTGAATTATGGTTGAGGGCATCTTTCAAGGTGGTGATCTCTGCCAATCCTGGTAGAAAAACCAATATTGAACCTTCTCTGGGATAATCATGATCTCCATCGATTATCCATTCCAAAATCTTCTCCAGGAGGTCGTAGTTGATTTTTTCTGGATCCATAACGTAGAGATTCTTATAAGTTCGCATGGAGAGTCCAGGATATCTTCCAATGAGCTGCGCCAAGTTCAGATTGCTATCCAAAACCGTATCCTTTGGTGATACTGAAGACAGTGATGCAATATCCGCAGAGGCTAACTCGATTTCAACTCGTTCCCATCCACCTTTAACTTTCCTAGCGTATTCTGAATTCTCTTCAAATACATAATCAATAGTTTCAACGATTTCTTCCAAAAAAATTTGTTTCACTGGGAAAGTTCTTCCAGGAATATTTAAAATTGGCGCTCCCTTGAAATAATTGGCGAATGATTCGGCTTTTAGAGTGGCACTCATCAGAATGATTTTTAGGTCTGATCGATGCGGAAGAATTTCTCGAAGAAGCATTAACAAAAAATCGGAATCAGAGCTGCGCTCGTGAACTTCATCGACTATCACGTGAGTTATGGATTTCAATTGAGCATCACTGGTTAATCTTTGTAGAAGAATTCCAGTAGTGCAAAATGTCAGACGAGTCCAGAGAGACATCTTGCTTTCCAGTGCTATTTGGTAACCGATTGTTTGCCCGAGATTTTCATCTCTTTCAGCTGCTACTCTGTCTGCTACTCCAATTGCACTTATTCTTCTTGGTTGTGTACAGATTATTTCAATATGATTGCCGTTAGTATTCCGATTGATGATCCAGTCATCCAGAATGAACTGAGGCACTTGGGTACTCTTTCCACAGCCCGTTTCTCCTGATATTATAGTCACCTGATTTTGATCGATAGTTTCAATCAATTCTGTCATCATTGACCAAGCCGGCAGTTTTCTTCTCAATTCTTTCATCTTCAGGTAGCGGGGATTCTTCATTTTCTCCATGAATTTCTGACAAATTGTATCGTCTTGTCGTTGAATCTCTTCCATGGATATTTTATTCTTGTTTGAACGATTTGTTGAGCCTTTTTGGTGATGGGTGGCAAGATTTTTGAAATTGTTATCTGTATTCTTCGAGAAGATAGAGTCGTGTTTGGAGAGGAAGTTTGGCTGGGCATTTTCAAGATAATATTTCATTTCCTCTGAGTTTTCGAGAATTGAAATCAATTCGAAAATGCAATGTTCACCTGTTGCAGCGCGAAGAGTTGCATCTTCGTACAGTTTTTTGCAAATAATGAGAAATAATTCACTAGGATAAGACAGATCCGTTTTGTAGAGGTAAAAGTAAGGTGCTTCGTACGGATATTTCGAATCTGAAACGATAAAATGAATTAATGAACGTTAAACACACAATAATCAATTTATTTTAAATTAAAAAAAATATGATTGCGCACGTATTGCTTTTGAGAGATTTGAAATTTTTCTGAAAACGATGGAAAATTTTGCTTACCCTCTGGAAATCTAATTTCTAAAGTGAAAGACGAATCCTGTTTGAAACTTTTTTTACTTTCTTTTATGGGTTCAGGTTGTTGATGTAAAAATCTACATTTCATTCCAAACCTACACTTTCCAGTCAAAAATAATCTACAAACATTTTTATTCACTGCCTGTGGTTTCTTCTCAAGCACAACTTCTTCATCACTGCTATCAATCAAGTAATCTAATTTAAGAGTAATAGTCCATAATTGATCTTTTATCTTTTGGGCAAAAGACTCTCCGTAAATGGCTTCAAGTGCACTTTTTTCGTCTTCTCTTGCATTCAATAAATCGTTTACATCGTAGTCTTGTGTATCACAGATTTTTGACAATCTATCGACCTTGTAATACTTTTCGAAAAGAATCTCTAAGGCCTTTCCTACATCACCTTGCACATGCTCAAGGGCTTCAGAACAGTGGAGTGAGTGATAACTGTAGCTTTCCAATCTCGACATGGCAAAATGTTTAGTTAATTGGGCTTGTGTTTTTGGTGTTGCTTCTCTAGACGAATAGTCAATAACACCTCGAATTACTAGATCACCTCGCTCCATCCAGTATTGCTTTCCGAGATTTGTTTTTTTGTTCTGATACTCTGAGGCATCACTCAATTTGAATGACTCTCCGTAAATTTGTTTCAGTGTTTCGTACAGTTCTCTTTCGGACTCGTCTGATATTCGAAGAGTTTGAAGTTCTACCTTACGATGAAGTGAAGGTTTTGACTGATTGCTGACATCTGATTTTGATGATTTCTGGGGAGATTTTGATGGACGCCTGAGAATTATCATAACGTTAATCATGGGAATGTATCATAATTTAATGTTTCTTTAAATTATTATATTGTTGTTAATTGTAACTAACTATGGAATTGTTTCTTGGTTATGTATGATACTTACTGCACATCATTGTTCGAAATATTTGATTGTCTTTTGGGTTCTAAGACCATATCATCCATCAATTGTACACTCAAATGATCCATTTTATTTATTTATTCATTGAACAAGTCCTCATAATTTTTCTTCTTTCAATATTTTTATCAGAGCAACTCCATACCCCTCGCCAGTGCCGCCAGTGCCGTCAACTGTCAAGAACAGAAAAACTCAATCTCAATCGGAGAATTCAATGCGCAGAGACCGTGCGCATCGCGCGCGCCATATTCAACCTAACCTCCAACAATTACTTTGATAAACCGCCAGTGGACATCGTAAACAATTGAATAAATTTGACGTAAACAATGGATAAAATCTTAGCACTTCAGGATAAATTTGAAGCACCGAGTGTTGAAATATTGGAAGAGGCACTCAAGCAGCATTTAATAGCCTTGAAACGTAGGGATAACGAACAAGATCATCTCTTAACAGGTAAATAAATCGTGTACATAACCCCCAAAAAAACTAATTATTATTAATACTGTTCTTTCGGCAATCAGCTGAAGGATGAATTTAATGTTTTCGTTAATTCAATTAAATCTCCAAAAAGATGTATATTTATTGATGCAAGCAGCACAAGTACAATAAAAATTATGAACTTGAAGTTAGCTGCACTTTTCATATACCAGCCTTCAGCAGAGAATATCTCTGTGAAAAGTGAGGATATAAAAAAAAAAAATCTGTGCATTCAGGAAACCTTTCTCCAGGTGGGAATTGCCTCACTTTTTTTCAATAAGTGTTTTTTCTTTCTTTACAACAATAAAACGAATTACAGAAATGTTCAGCATAGAATATCTCCGACGCCAGCCATCACAATATGATGTAACCAAATTCCCTGACTTCGGTTTTCAAAAATCTAAATGGGAATTCCTTTTTTTTTTCGTTTGTCGTTTAAAAAAAAGTTTAAAGAAAAGTTTAAAAAAAGTTTAAAAAAAAAAGTTTAAAAAAAAAAGTTTAAAAAAACAGTTTTTTAAAAAAAGTTTAAAAATCGTTTAAAAAAAAGTAGTACATCAAATGTTTTCAAAATTCGAGGATATATTTCTGCAGAAATAATAAATATATAACATTTATCATGTTATGTTTGTTTAAATATATTTAAAAAATTTGAGAATTAAGAATTGAACAATTTTTAATTTGTCTCCATTTCCAGGGCTGGCGAAAATTAAATTGAAAATAGAATGTCGCTTTTAGGAATGCCGTATCGAATTCATAATTTTCAACAATTAGAAAAAATAAATGAGAAATATTATAGAATTATTCAAAATTTTAGGGAAGACTTTCTAACATTAATTTTTTATGCAGACATGTTTTGTGAAATTATCCGTAATTTCGATATTGTCATCTAATTTTAGAAAATGCTGCCAAAATTGCCGAACTCGAGGGTAAAAAATTGGAACTGGAGAAGAGAATTACTCAGGAACAGAGTAAACATATTGCCTGCTTGGACGAGTTGGAGAGGCGCAATAAGATTCTGGTACAGTAGAGTCAAATAATTGTTTAAATATCGTCTGTACAAATACATTAAACTGACGTTAATTTTGCAGAAAGAACGGGAGCATGAAAAAACTCGGTTGATTACAGAGAATCGGCACAAGGAAGCTGAAAAGAATAAAATTATGTCAAAGTGTAAGATGCCGAGTGTGACAGACGAGAATACATTAGAAAATGGAAGGAAAAAATTCGAATATTACAAGAATCTCACTGGCATCAGATGGGATTACCCCATGTTGAAGAATGGAATCAAAGGCTGTATCCTTTTTATTGAAAAACACCATAAAATGTCTCCAATACGAGATTTTAAACGTAATTGATGGGATTTATCATTTTGTAAATTACAAGTTAAAAAAATATTAATTGCGACTTGAATTGCGATTATCCCTCTCGTGAATCACGGGTTTTAGATCCTAAAATACAAGGTCCGACCCCATGTAATGATGGATCTAAAAAGAATCTGTTTTTGTCATCTGAATATGACTTTCAGCGGCATTTTAAAATTTAAATAGGTAGAGTAAACTTACCTCAGCTGGGCTCACAATCAATGATGTTCGAAATGAAAAAAAAAATAAGATTTGAATGAAAAGTTCCTTGACGAATTCTGTAGATGTTACAAACAAACAAGACTACATCCATCCATTTTTCTTTGAGTTGGACCAAGCAGATTTGACGGCGAATTTGTGGGAAGAAATCGCCAAAAGTACAACTCTAAAAGGATCCGAATGAACTGGCATTCCATTAATCATTTGAACATATTGTTTAAACAATGGCCATGAAAATAATGTAATAGGAACTCGTAAGGTGTTCGCAAGTATTAATAAATTTTTTATCCATTTGATAAACTGATATGATTTTCATCTTGTTAGCGTCGTCAAGGAGCACAGCTAATGTGAAATTTCTTCTCACGGTATTTTGCATTAAAATAAAAATATAGAATGTTTATGTCAGTATAATTGTCAAGTATGTGAGTGTTTACAGATGTGCAAGCATGGATAAATCAACAATAATCATCACCATTAAAATTCAAGGTCATTGGTACCCAATGTTTCAGCATGATTCTCATCAGATAGTGCATCATCGATGAATTCCTCAATAGTCATTTGGTGAAAACGTTTTGGTGGAGGTACAGCACCAATTAAATTTTCAGGTTCTACTGTCGGTGGCTCTAATTCAGGGCCCGGCAACCTTCAGGTAGTCGGGAGCTAGTCTATTACAAGGGTTGGGATAATCCTCTCATCCTAATAGGTACCCAATTAGCCAACAATTATGTGCGAATAAGTCTCAGCAGTGGCGTGCTAGTCGAATAAAATTGGCCGACTCGCCAGAATTGGCGCTAAATTTCAGTTTTTAATTTTAAATATAAAATTGAAAACGTCAAATTTCCATAGGAAAACCTTGGAGAATATATTTATAAAATGGTAGTCGATAATTATTATTTTCCTTTTAAATATTGAGACTAAATTTGAAAAATGAAAAGTTGCCGCTGTCGACTGAGGAATATATTTCTGGAAATCCCATTGCATTACATACCCAGGATAAACTTTCTTGATGTCCATGAGCATCTGCATTATCTGTGATCTCAGATCAGTTTTATGATACAGCTCAAGGAAGTGGTGACGATGATCATGAAGAGTCATATATTGATGGAGCAGTGTAGGACTTTGACGACTTTTAATCCCACTCTTAGAACAACGATTTCGACACTCGAAATTATTCGATCGTATTAGCAGGATTATCTTTCTCTACATACTCTCTTCCTTAATTGCTAAATGCATACATTAATAAAAAAAAAATTAAGTCTATTATACCTATGGGTATGAGTTCACTAATAATTATGTAAAAATTTATGAGAAAAATTAAAATTAAAATTAAAAAAATAAAGTCAAGACTTTATTGACTTCATTTTTTTTTAACTTTAATTTTATTTTTTTTTTAACAAATTAACAAATAATTTTTAAACATCAAGAATTACACTTCAATGACGTGCGAAAAAACTACAATATATTGGATAAATTAATTTATTTAAATAATAACTCTTTCCGGGCTGTTGTTATCATACTAGTGTCGGTAAAACAGGAAGTACGTGAACAGCTGATCGGCGGGGCGCAAGGGCGGTATATGAAAATTGTTTATTTCCTTTAGATTAATTGCGACATGAATATACAAGCGAAATGACGGTAAATTAATGATGTACAATCAAAGTTCTATTAATTTAATCGGTTATTAGCGTGAATGAATCAATTTTTTATCATTAAAAAATTTAATTAATTAATATTAATTAATGAGAGAATGTACAAACAAAAATATCTCAAGTACAATCATCTACAAACGATATACAATCGAGGGGGTAGGTTTGTTTTTGGGTTTGTTATTGACTTTCAGCTAGGTACATATGTGCATATGTATGTGCGGCTTCAACTACTAATGTATGGCGCTAACTGTTGTTATGGCTCCCGCTGTTTCGGTCCCATCAATAATATCTGCCATGTTCGTTCTGTTGACAATTTCTACAAGAATAACTGGATATCATTGATTATTTTTAATAATTATTGGGTACAATATGGATGTACGCGGTATAGAAGTAACAAATCAGCTCCGGGTAAGTGAAAAAGTTCACATACTACTCCCACTAAAATAATCATTGATCGACCAACGAGTTCCACTCAGATTTCATCCTCTTAGAAAATTCCCCAAAAGTATTGGTAAAACGTAAGATGAACTTTTTTTTAGAGTGCGATACGTGCGAAGCTACTAGAGTTGGGTGTACGCTACGATGAAGAACTACCGGATTACATTCTCGTAATGGTCGTAAACAAAAAAACTCGTCAGCAGATGCATGAGGACCTGAATTTATTTCTCGAAAATAACACAACTCCCTTCGTCGATTGGTTGCATGATCAAGTATTGAAGAAACTTCAGAAAGTTACAATTGCCAAAAAGAAACCTTCCAGGGAATTTGTACCAACAGTGGTTGTGAAACAGGAAGAGGAACGAAAGAAGAAACGTACCACTACCCAAGCTGAAGGGGAGAAGAACAGACAGCAATGCAGCAGTGCTGAAAAACCATCTTTCGAACAGCCTCAAGAACCCATCAATGAAGATGCTATCGTTGCTCTTAATGATTTTAATCAAATTGAAAATTCAACATTGTGGACTCCATCATCAGCGCCTCCACCACCTCCACCACCACCACCACCACCTCCACCGCTTCCAACAGCATCATCATCATCATCATCATCAGCATTAGCATCAGCATCAGCATCAGCATCAGTATCAGCATCAGCATCAGCATCAGCAACAGCATCAGCACTACCACCAGCATCAGCACCAGCACCATCACCGCCGCCACCACCCCCATCATCACACCAGTGCACCGAACAGTCATCATTACCACTGGAAACATCAGCAAAATGCATTAATTCAGTCTCTCTGACGTCTAAACGAATTCCCGATCGCGAAAGCTCGGCACCTACCGAACGTCCGGAAAAACGATTGAAAACTACAGACTCATCGAGAAACACATCGAGACAGTCAGACGACTCCGAATCTGAAGAAAGGCGAATAAAATCATGTATTAATAAGCCAAGAATAACATCAGTTGTGTCTGTGAAAACACGATTAGGTTTAGTATCACCAAGAAAGAAGTTTCAAATCCATAAAGATAGGACTGACGATGATGATTATCCTTATCGAACAAAAGATATAAGATTCGAGAAGAAATCTTATGAGAGCTTGAACCGTCGAAATAATTCCAGAGGGAGAAGCTTTGAGGATGAAGTCAGGAGAGGCACTCGAGAGGAATCGAATAATCGTACATCATTGACGAATAATAAAAGCAGAATTTTGGGAGGAAGGGAATTGAGCGAAAAAGGTCTATTCACTATGAAATCTAGAGTTGAAAGCTCTACCGGAAATATCAAAGATAGATTGGGACAAATATCTAAATTGAGAATGAAAGATTCACAAGAAGATAATGGACGAAATTTTCGGAGTCGAATTGGAACAGTCACAAGTAAATTCAGGGCTTTGGGAAGATTGGGGGTGCCAAGAGTGAATAGATCTGGAGATCTAAATGATGAAGAGTGTGAAATTGATGAGGACGACTCAGCTGTTCCTGTAAAATCTCATATAATTGCTATCAAGAGTTCTACAACTGAGAAAGATGATAATCGTAGCTCGAAATTGTCAAGAAAATTGGAGGAGAGTCACGAGAGAAAGGTGGAAAATGAAGAGGGAAAAACGTTAGCTAGCAAGGTCATCGTCACTCCTAGACCCCTTAAACCACTTCAACCCGTTCAAAAAAGAGCAACTCAATCGTTATTGCTCCGGGCAGTAGCCGAAGCCAATCAATCAGTGGTGAAGCAAAAAAATCCAGAGCCGATTACAAAGGTGAGTAAAAACTCAATGAAATGAATAATTTGTCCTTTTCCGTTTTCATGTTAAAGTCCAATCCACATGCTGCATAAAAATAATAATTAAGCTCTCCACTTATTCTTCTTGTAATAGAAAATACTTATTTATCATAATAAATTGTTTATTTATCTCTGATCAATGTGTATAATCACTTTAATCCTATCTGAGATGAAAATAGATAGGTCTCTGTAATTTTGTGGAGATTCATAATTTATTGTTCTCCTCTTTTGTCATTGAGAAAATTAATTTTCGATAGGATAAAAAGCCAATACTCAAACGTCTGAGACCCTCAAGTACAAGGGAAATAGCTCAAAATTTGTCGGTACATCTGAATGCCACCAAGCGTTTAGTCATGGAGAAAATACAAGTGGAGCTCACCAATCCTGATACTGAGGATAATGATAGTCCAGAGCCTTGTGAGTTTTATTTCCATTTTACTCATTATTTATCACTTGAATTGTATTTATATCGTCATTTTTAGACGTTCCAAGATCAGTTACTGAAGAGCAAATGGGTGTTGTCATGTCTCTGTTTCAAAGGGGGGATGACAACCAGAAATTTCTAGTCACTTTAAATGGATACAATAATAACGTTATGAAGGAGAAAAATCTATCTGAAGATGAGGGGCCGTTAGAAATGGAGGTAAATTAAAATTTTATCATGTTGGAATTAAAAGAGCAAAACACGTCCAGCTGTGGTACTCAGAATTTTTTATTTTTTCATAAGGTCAATGAAGAAGATCAGTTGGTACTCTCTAATGCTCCGAATGAGTCATCGACTGAGGATTTTGGAACATTCGAAGCGGAGGAATTTGAAAATTTGGGGAAGAATGAACAAATGGAAAACAATGAGAATCATTGCAGCGACAATTTGGAAGTTGAGGAGTCAACGAGAAAACGAAGAAAATTGAGTCCCATTATTTATACGAGGTCATCAAGTCCTGACGACTTATCAACAGCCGCAGTTCCGTCTGAAGTGACAGGTCATTAAAAATTCATGTTTGGTTGTTATTTTTTTAAATATTCCATTTTTTTTCAATTTTTTTTTAAATAAAAATCCAGAGGTAACGAAATGTGCGATCGCTTTTTTGCCGCATGGCTTAGATTATGAAAATGCTTGTTTAAATAATTTTAATACCTTTTTTGTAGATTTTGTTCTGGGGTACAAGAAAAATTTTTGAATATTTTTGATGAATTTTTTTGAGACTACGATGGATAGGAAAAATTGTCATGAAAGCTTTTTTCTCTCGGCGAGATGTCGTATGTCCTCAGAATGTGTAGATATGACCCTTTGGTTCAATTCAAGCAATATATCATTTTTTTCTAATCCAAAAAAATTTTATTTCAGATTTTTGTATAAAAATTACATTTTCTTAACTCCATGTATTAGTTATGTATTTTCATTAACGAATGAAGAGCAAGCACGAAGGCCATGACGAATATATTGTAATAGATTTAATTTATCGAATGCGTTTTTTGTGCGTGTCCCCATGAGATGATTGTAGAATTTATAAAATTTAAATTGAGTGAAGAGGATTAAATTTGATATTGCTTCTCTTATCTCATCTACTGATATTCCGTTACAGGTTTTGATAAACGGCCGCCAGTTGCACCCGTTATAATCAGTGATACTTCGAGAGAAAAATGCCGGTATTGGCCGAATTGTACATTGGGGAAGAAATGCGCATATTTGCATCCGGCTGTTCCGTGCAGGTAAATAATTACACATTTTAAATAATAATTTTGAGGGTAAATGTATGGTTTAGGTCCACCAAAAAAACTAATCATTGAAATATTAATTTCTCTGACGAAAAATCCATTCTTATTCTCTCAGTTCCCATTAAAAAGACGAAAGAAGAGAATGAGAAACAACAAGGAGGTAAATACATCGAAAAATAATCCTGAGGTAAACTCTGTTGTCCCTGAAAGTCCTTAAACCCCCCTTCCCCCTGCTGACGCTATTGACACGACGAGTGAGTGATATTAAATTCAATAATTTGAATTGCTACAGAAGGGTAACGGCGGATAAATCACTCGTTGTGTTCAGTCAGCGATGGTAGATGGTCGGGTGAGGTGAATTCAGAGTTTTAGTCAAGTGTTCAGGAATATTTGATGAAATCCATCTTTCTGTGTGTCCATTGTCTATAAATGTGCCAACATGTGGTGTCTTTGGGGCCGACAAACCGCCACGTCCTCGCCGTGGCCCTGGATAACGCAGAGAGCGGTGTATTAAATGTCATATCTCCCATACTAATTGTTCCCGGATAAAAAGATGACCAGATCCTTAATTAGGTGACGGAAACCCATCCAATCAAATAAAAAACATCCAGAATGGTATGGTGGACCTGAACTAGACATTTACCGTTCATCATACTCGTTAAACTTTAATACATCTTTGTTATATTTTGGTTTTAGTGCGTTCCCAACTTGTAAATTTGGAGATAAATGCGTATACAAACACCCAAAATGCAAATTTGGTTTATCGTGTACAAAACTGGGGTGCATATTTTCACATCCATCCCAACAATGCAAGTACCATCCGTATTGCACCAAACAGGGTTGCACTTATTTGCATTCACCAGTGCATCCAATTGTACCAGCTGATCTTACGAGGGCTAAATTTACATGGCGTAGGAGTGATTGAGTTTAATTGTCATTGTTTCATCTGTTTATTTTAAGTTGATGAATGACATGGTATTTAAATTAATTTAACATAATCAAATAAATCGATTTTATTGAATAAAAATGTACAGAATGCAGTGGAGCTATAGATTGTGTAAAGTGTTTATTTTTTTCAATGCTGTTTTACTAATCGCCTCAAGGTCAGGGTCAAGTTAATAAATCGAAATGAAATTTCTTTTTTAATTCTCAATTCTTGATCTTAAAGCCGTTATTGAAACAGCATTGAATAAGAGTGAGGTCAATATTGAATTTAATATTAATTTTTGTTAATTTCAAGTCTTGGAATAAATTCGAACAAATAATGAAAATGTGGATCATTCGATATTACATAAATGTCTTCCAATGCTTACGGAATTAAAATTACATCACAACAATTTTTTCAATCAACTTTTGAGATTTCTGTTTTACAATCAAATTTTATTGATAAAATATGATTTGTTGTATAAGAAAAAGACTCTTAGAATTCCTAAATACTTTCGAACGTATTCTAAGATACTTTTCCGGTTCAAAAATTGTCGTTATTTTCTCTTCTTTTCTGTTTTTGACATTTTTTTTCCGCTAAGATTGCGATAATTCTGGAAGGAACTCTTACTGTGTCGGAATCTAGTTATTTCAAATAAATTGATCCGTTCAAGAAGGATACGATTCCTTATTATGAAAGTAGAAACACAAAAATGAAGTTCGCCCGAGTCGAAATATCTCGAAACGCGTAGCTCTGCGCGTAGGGCTAATTCCTCATTGGTCAACTCGAACCGCCAAATTCAAATTCGGCGCACGGAGTGCGCAGTAGGTCTCGTTGATAATTCATATAAATTCGGTCAAATTCAATTCAACGTGTGATGAAGTATTACAGCAGGTATCTGCCCAGCTTTTACCTTCATCCGGGGGTTGCGACGGGGACGGGGGGTAAGAGAACGCCACAACGTGGACAGTGTGTCCCGTTATTTTATTCTCGGGAGACAGTCTTCAGCCAATCCCCTGTTGCCTTGATTGCGCAGTTCACTGCAGCCACTCTGTTCCTTTCCTAGACCCCGTTGAAGGTGGGTGCTTTGACTCCAGTATGACCTCCCTCAGGAGACTTTTCACCTATGTCACTCCTTCGGCGTCCAGCTTTTGGTTCGGATACGACTGCGGTTTCACGGCCAACCTTAACGAGTGGGTAGCCGTCTGGGCGCTTGTGCCTTGATCCTTCGTTCCCATTTTTTTCACTTTTGGCGCTGTGGTGGGACTAGGTGTTGTCGGCTCTGGAAGAGGTCTTTTTACACCTCTCTTTCCAGCCCCCACATCCCTAATCATTTCAGTCTGAGATGCACCCGGAGCTTCCACATCCCGAATCACTTCAATCTGAGATGCAACTTGGGCTAACGGTGCTATTTCCTCCGAGAACTGCTGCTGCTTTAGTCTCTTTAGCTTTCTCCTGGCTGCACCGCTCAACCTGACTCGCTTCTTCCTTTCCTCAACCAAACCACTTCGAGCGTTGCCAGTAGTTTCCCCCGAGTGTTCACCAGCATAACTCCCACCCGGATCAGTTTCTTTTAGAATTAGATTGTTAGAATTGTTCTCCATTTTTGGTCCCATGAGTAACACCGAAGAGCGATCTAAAAAAAAAGTGGAAAATATGATGACATAATTATTATTTATTCAACAAATTGAAAATATAAAAATAGGTTTGATGAGCTAAGATTTATATTTCATATATTATTTCTTGAGTTGCCATTTCCCTTGGACGCTATTTTCCTTCAAGTATCAAGTAAACATCAAGTAGAGTATCATGGAGAGTTTTGATCGATTATCCGGATTCTCATGGAAGGATCACTCTTCAGCAATCCAATAACTAATTGTTTTTCAATCTCGGCAAAACCTGAGAAAATTCTCATTTGTGTGCTTGTTATTAGCAAACACTAAAAAAAAACCTTTCCTTCCCGTATACCCTCCTGGGTCCCACCCCTCACCCCTTGTACTGTAATTTGCCGAAGGGACAGGAAAATATTCATTCGAGGGGAAAACCCTGCCCTGGTACAGTCATCTTTCTTTTTACAGGACTACCGCTCGATAATGAAACCGTGAGATTAGAGCACTATAAATTTTAACTGCCGGTACGCGGGATCGAACCGCATCATTGGCATGCTATGATTGGGGGAATCCCCGGCGCGTACCTGGGAGACGCGGGTTCAAATCCCGGCTGGGTACTGCCCAATTTTTTTTTCTCGAAATTTTAATTCCTTGAATTAAAAAAATTTTTTTTTCGGGATTATTGGTATGCTATATCGAGTACTCCAACCGTACGGCCACTACTGTCGGTTTAGCCAACACTAATTTTTTAGAATTTTTTTTAGCTTCAATACTAAAAGTACAATTTTGATTCGATTGTTGGTAAATATGTAGATTAGCAGCCTCTCTTTCAATTAAAAAAAAAATTGTGAAATGTGTAATCTTCCACTGTTGTTCACCTCCTAAATTTCCAGATATCGAAAACGCGTACGGCGCAAGATATTAATTATTTTATATAATATTTTTATTTACCGTAATGAAATATTTAGAGATGTTTTTTAAATTGTCCTATTCCGCATAGCTGATGTTGCCAAAGTCAAAAAATTACTCGAAAGTTTAATTTGAGAACCTGAAATTTTTCAATTTAACTTTTCTCCGTGTCAGCGACTCATCGTTATAAATTAATTTCATTCAAAATTCTATCGGAACATATACCTCCAACATTGAAAATCTGAAAGAAAATTAAGAACTCACCAAGTCCACTAATCAACAATAACAAATATAGAATTTCTATAAATAATTGAACATATAAAAAAACGGGCGATTAAGTTGACGAATAACGCCACATAAATAAACTAAAATCGAATGGATAAATTTTTCTGTTTTTCCATGTTTTGTTCTATCTTCATTCAACTTTTGGTTTTCAATTCATCGATTTCTGTCTTCAAACCTTCCGACTTCAAGATTCAATAAATCATCACCTGGTACCTAGATTACAGACTTCAGGACTTATTAATTATTTTTTTGAAAGATTTGTAGCAATTTTTTTTTATAAAACGTTAGTTTTTGTTTTGGGATTTCGAAGTTATGATACAAATGGAAGGGCCTGATTTTTTGTGGTCATGATAGGGCCCCGAGGACCGCTCTTGTTCCCTTATTTTGTAACATCCTATTATTTAATGTGTAAAATATATAAATAAACAGCTTTATTGGTTCACATTTACGATTCAAGTTGCTCTAACCTTAACCGCGGGATCACGTAATCCTCAACCCGGTAGCCACAAGAATAAATGTAATCACTGAAATTGAATAAAATTTGTGTTACATTCTCCGGTTGATTTTCACTCAATTTCAAAGTGGGTGAAAGTGAAGACTGAAGATCGAGGGTAAAAGTGAAAAAAAAAAAGAAGTGTTAGCAGCAGTTCTACTTAGCTCTGCTGGGCTGGACAGCAAACAGGCAAACTGACGTAAGAAAATTGTAGAAAGATGGCGACGTATTTGAAACGGACGTCAAAATTGTTTGATGTCTCGTCGTTGCAGGCGTCGACAGAGATGAATTTACGCGATGTTATATGTCCAGTGTGTCGTGGAATATTAATTGAACCAGTGACATTACCGTGCACCCATAGCCTGTGCTTAAGATGTCTAAAAGGTACATTCGAACACAATAGCCTCAGCTGTCCACTGTGTAGAGTTCGAGTTGGTTCGTGGCTTAGGAGTGCAACTAAATCTGAAACTCTTATTAACAGTGAACTCTGGCATTTGATACGTTCTCGTTTTCCAAAAGAAATCGAGGATAAACGTTGTGATCACGATAATGAAATTCCAACTGATCCTGGTGAGTGAGCATTTTCATCTACAAATAAACAACTTTACATAACCTAGCTTTTTTTTTTAAACGCCATAACTCATTGTCTACGCATTGAACACGTAGATCAATTATTTCATATGACTAATTATGACGACTGGCGACGATTATTTCGTGTAATGCTAGTGTCTAATTGAAACTACTTAATTAATTGTATTAATTAAATCATGGGTGCATATGCATACGTACACTTGAATTATGGGATATTTTAGTCTATCTGTTTTTCATGCTGTGACATGTTTTTATTTACAAATTTCGCGGCATATTTATTATTGAAAGTGAGATTTGAATTCTGACTTTTTTATTGCCATATCGTTTATTCACTTTCTTAATTACGAAAATCGTTTTTTTTTAAATTTTCTTCCGATTACCCTAAAGTATTGTTGACGTCGAAATATTAGGACTTTCTCTGGGTCTGAAAACCTTGCAGAGAACATGGACTTTTCTCTTTTTATAAAAATAATATAAACATTGCTCCAATATTCCAGGTTATCCACCCAAGATCATTAGTGCAGCAGGTGAAATTCGACGAGAGTACGAAAGGCAGCTTCAAATTGCAGAAGAAGAAATGCGAATACAACGTAAAGCTGAGATCATGGCGAATGAAGCATTAATACGAAGATTACAAGAAGAAGAAGAGCAAAAGGTGGCACAATGTGCCCAAGATCAGTTGCTAGCGAAGAAACTAGCGAAGAAGCAGTTATTGACTAAAGAGAAAAATGGCATCCTCTATAATAAGAGCACGAACATAGAAATTCCCAGTAATGAAATTGAAATATTGCCACTGAATAGTGGCTCTTCAACTATAAACAGCGATTCCATTTGTCATACAAAAAATGAGGGAAATGATATTTCTAAAATAGATTCTAATTTTCATCTTGAAAAATCATCAAAATCGTGTGGAAATTTAATTCTAGATCTGAAGCTTGCAGCAAATAGAACAGCCTCAAGTCAAGCTCCTATTTCTGTTCATAACGTTGTAACATTGAAAAATCAGTCTGTTATGTCGATACAAAAATTAAATCCAAATTATTCGGAGCCAAGCTGTTCAAATTCAAAGATTTATGGTACCAGGAGTGAAGAAGAGTTACGTGTACCAAGTGATGTTTTGTCGAGTACTAAAAGTGTTGGCATTGAATTTTGTATTAAAACAGTGAAAAATGATGATGACAGAATCGGTAGTGCTGAAAGCGCTGGTAGCCATGACAGTATAAATCAGGAGATTCATCATTTTAAACCGATTAAAGCAGTACCTAGAACAGCGCTGAAATTTTCACAAGGTAATTCCATTTTCCAATATACTATCTAAAAATTAATTACTTCTGGTCCGTCAAGAAAATACTTATAGAAAGTAGAAGCCGAAAAATTACTGTAACTGTATGTTCAGAGCCACTCTGAGACCTATGGCAATTAAAAAAAAATTTATTTGATAAATCTGGAAGAAAAAAAATGCCATGATCATACGAATATTTTTTCTCAAGTGTAAACCTAAAGTAGTATAAATATATAGAAAGTCAATATGCGGAACTAGGAATATATGGATAAGGAATAAAAAAACACAGATATACCTGTGACAAATGAAAAAACAAAATTTTGCATTTTTATAAATTATAATTTTATACAGTCGGATGAAATTTGTTCTACAAAAATATTACATATAAAGGTTAATTGTCCTGTTAATTAATGGTATTTGATGTTTCAGATGGAAAACAAATTGATCCGAAATTAATTCGAGTTGTGCCAATATTTGAAAGTGTCTCCAACGTACGTCCCAAACCACCAACCCCCAGTAAACGAATAATTGGCTGTTCTTGGAGTGCATTCAGAGGTAAAAATAACTATAACACACCTTCTCAGTAACGAGTGTCATTTAGAAATTCATTCATCATCATCTACTTTCAATATTCATAATATCGGATATATAATTGGATAATCATCCCACAGATTAATTACTCTTCAAGGTCATAACCATCACTCCTTTTATTAAATTCATTGCGGCTATGATCCATACATATGAATCATTCTCTAAAACTGTAGAAATCGGTGACTCGAAAATTTTGCTCTCAATATTTTTTCAACTTTCTAAAGTTTTGAGTCTATTTTCGAAATTGTGAATTTGGAAATAAAAAGTTTTATCCTCTATTCATCTTGATGCATGGAATATTTTATCCAAGGGGAGGGGGAGGGGGGGGGGATGATTTCTACTCATTGCTTTTGTAGAAACCTTCAACTAAAATTGAATTACAGAATCAAACATAAAAATTACAATTTTGCTTGTTATGAATTAATGAGAAATGGTGACAATTAAATTAATCAGGTTTCAATGTTGAACATAATTAATTAGATTTCTAGCGGATTTTAAGAGAAGGAAGAGAATTATAAAAAAATGAAAAAAGATAGGTAACGACTTATGAACCTCTTGATGATTCGATGATGTTTTATTCATTACCAAAATTCCTCTATATTAGTTATAAAAATTTATTGTCGATTTATGATTTTGGAAATTATACTGCACATACTCCCTTCTCCAAGAAGACTCATTGATAGTTATTAATTGACCGGAAATGTACAGAATTTATGATTGCAGGTAAAGCCAAACAAAATCCTCAGGCTGATGGTGATGCAGTGTGGCAAGCTGCAAGTCTCAATGAACCTTGTCAAAAATTCAAAACAAGAAAACCAGAAAGTGTCCGAAAGATAGATCTTGCTCAAGACATATCATTCGATAATAATATCAACTGTGGGAAAGGGATGGATCGAATATTGAACGGGACTAAAGTGAAATTAATAATGGAGAAAGAGACTGACAATTCTGCGGATAAGACCTGGAAAAAATTCAAGAATTCGAACGAGAGAAATGAGTTTAGTGCAGATGAAAATTTCTCACCAAGTTGGAGCCAAGCGTTACTGAAAATGCCTTTGAGTGATGAGAATGGTGCGGCTGTTGAAAATATAGCAGAGAGAATAAAAAAGAGGAAGGTAGCACAGTCTCATACGATTGATCCAATTACCAATCAAATTCCGAGTCCTCGGGAAACACGGAGCAGAATTCTGCCATCACGTAAAAAAAAAGGGAATTCATCCTCAAAATCTAAGAGGAAAATGGCAGCAAAGTCCAAGAATTTGAAAGTACAATTCACCACTAAAACTGAGATAATTACATCTCCAGTAATTGTAGATGTTGAAATGAAGACGATAAAAGCGACTAGGAAGTCATCAAGATCGAAATGTAAAGGAGTTGGTGAATCAACTGAAAAAATATATAGAGAAACAAATGGAAATCTGGATGACATGGCAATTGAAGAACAGGGAAAAATGGAGAGAATTTTGCGACAAGAGAAAGAGGACTATGAGTTTGCCCAGAGATTGCAAGCTCAATTTAATGAAGTTGAGAGTATTTCGTATAGAACAAGGGGATCAAAACGCGCGTTTGAGTCTGGTAAAATAGAACGAGGGATTGATAAAATATCGATTGCTGATAGATTACTCGTAAATAATGTTAATACTGCCAATACATCCAGTGCTGCAAAGATGAGACGGAGACAGAAACGGCATTAGACATTTCCAAGAAACATCCGAGCTAAATTCCCAGTGGAATGTAGAAAACAAATAATTTAGCTTAATTTCGTGCACTTATTAAGTGAATCTATGTTTTCATTTGCATACATGATATTGATAGTGGAGTGATGAAGGGTAATCGATAGAAGATTAATTTTTATCTGTATATATCATACAATTGAAGTACTCAAAATTGTGTAAAGAAAATTCGTCAAATTAGAAGTGACAGTCCAACGCTGTGTGTATTAGATAAAACAATCGTTGATATTTCGAAAGTAAGAACGAAGTATTAAGGATAACCAGACGAGGTAGAGGGAATTTAAAAAATGCAGACAGTGGTATGAATCTTTTTAAATACATTGATGATTTTACTGAGCAGCAGTGTGAAAAATTTCATATAGCCTAAGAGCATGGTAGCAGCTGAAAAAAATTCAAAACTATTCCGCATACATAAGGTTAAATGGGGATTAATAACCGTTACATTATTGCAAATTATTGCTTAATTAATTCATCAGTGTGTTAAATAATTAATTTATAACATTAGCTGCTTTTTTTACATTCGACCTCTACCTCGCCAGATTATCATTAAAAAAGCTGAATCTCAACAGTTTATCATTGTTGCAAAAGAAAAAGATGTGTTGACATTTTTTTTTTAATCTACGCCTGCTTTTATTTTTTTATCCAAAGTGCTTTAGATGGAGGTATAAGGGTGACAACATTAGGTCTTTATAAAAAAAGGAATAATTTTATAAATTCGTATAGGAGACTTCGCTTGTTGTTACCTTTCGAGACGTCACTACTGATATAATGTATTTTAAGTAGATTAAAAGTGGATCCATTATTGTAAATAAATTTCCAATGGTGTGTCTCTCCAATTTTTTTTAATGCGAAATATCCTGTAGAGGGCCACCACCAGAAATGTATGCGAGATTTCTAGAATCTCGTAGATTTTAATTAATCGTAAAATTGTAAATATGCAAAGTGAAAATCGATCTTTAATAAATTACAAATTTTTATTTGTAGATGGTTCTATTTTATCTTACATTTCCAATAACAGTTCGAAGGCCCTCTACATTTCCAAAGCTTCAGAACTTCACTGCAAGTGTTTGATCATTATTTTATTTCTCTCTAATTGTCCCTATAAAATTATCAACCAATATTTTTGATGGTAAAACCATGAAAATATCAATTCTGAAATAGGTAAGAAAATCCTAATGTGAGATGTCATATAAGATGACTAAAAAACGTTTTGGATTTTCATGGAGACAATAAACCATATAAAATAAAACGAATAATCAAGTTATGGAGCAATATTAACTTGATTGACCTAATCGAATGGATTCTTCAAATATATTTTCTTGACGTACTCTTTCTCATGGTTATGCCAATTAAAAACGGAATTAGTTTTTTTTTAGTATACCTGCTATGCAGCAAATTAAATATATGAAGTATCTTTTAATTACCTAATGAATAGGAACACCGAAATGAAAATGAAAATAGTATTTTGGAAATGATGAAGCTTATGAAGAGTTTTCCTGAATGACGACTATAACAAGTAGAATAAGCAAAAATAATGAAGGATGATTACACGATGCAGTAAATAGTGTACGCCTCCCAAAATCATTGGATCGTTGTACTAATTTTGGTCCTTAGAAATTAAAAAAAAAATTTCCTCATTACTTTTCACGATTTCTCTTCTGGGAATTGGTGGTGCATACTTGTGCATCAATATAAAAATTGAGAGATGAAACTTTGTGAAAGTTTCATCATTAATTATGATGTAACGGACAAACGATATATTTTCATATCTCAATCCGATCGATAGTTTTCAATAAATCTTAGAAAAACAGGAAAAATAATAAAATACCAGCAGATCATCCTTAAGATCTCGAAATAAATTCTGAGTTTTCCCTACTGGGATTGAAACGAACACGGCTGAATTGACAAGATGGAGACGACAGGTCGCTGCCTTCATTATTTTACACATTGAGTATAATCGATGATTGCAGCACGAACTGGTAATAATGGTAACGTTCATAAACATATTTTAATTAGTTTAAAAAAAAGGATAGGAACTGAAAATAAATCGACAATCGAAAATCCTCGAAAGGCAGTAAATCATAAAAAGTGGTAATTGTAGGCTTCCATGTTGTCACCGCCATTTAGGGGACTTGGTCTTCTCGTAGGTCCCGGGGTTTTCTCATGACTTCGAGGTGTTCGAGTGGGACAGGCAATTGGAGTGTCCTCACAGCCAGCTAGCGTTTCTTTACAGCAGCGGTGAGCAACCTCAGCTCTCGGAGCTACTCCAGCTCCTGACCTCCATTGGGCGGTCGGTCCTAAAATTATCCCAAGCCATAAAGCTTACCGCTGCACGCCTTCGGGCCCATGATGCCCTGCGCGTAGGCAAGAGTAGTGGGGATATGCGGCGGAAACTTAGTGGGACAAGTGAAATAGAAAAATTTTGTACTTCTCTAATGGAAATATTTTTTCAATTATTGCTTTTTTTGTTGTTATGCTTTTGATTGGTTATTGGTTGCTTGTAATCGATTTTATAAAAAAAAAATCGTACCTTTCATAGATTTCTTGAAGTGGAAATATTGTTTGGAAAACAATTATTAAATATTATCATGCTGTTAATAGACCTGATTTGACATGCATTTTCAAACTTTTCATTTCTATATTTCCCCCTCTCGATGCCAAATTAAAATTCACAAATTTCTCACAATCAAAAAAATTATCGGCGTCCTTTAATCTTTAATTGAAGATGAATTTGCTTTTTTTTCTCAAGTTTACGGGCATCCCACTTTCATTTCCACCGATGAATGTTGAATCTAAACCATCATCTTTTAATTTCATTTTTTTTGTAATCAAAAATAAAATGTCCAAAGACGTGCATAAAAATTCAAACCATTTTGCCCTCGCATTTCAATCACGCGCATGCGTCATCGCCCGATGTTACCCCCACTACACAAATATATGGCAACCCTTGTAATCACGTTAGGTCCCTTATAATTGGAATCTTAATAATTTCATGGCTATAGCTCCGAGCATACCTGAGGTTGCCCCCCTCTGCTCTACAGCCAACTTTTTGGGAGAAGGATGGCTCGAAGACTGCTCTATTTCTCATGACCCTGAAGTTTGGCTGCTTTCGATGGAAAAATTTTTAATGTCGTATCTATGGCGGGGTAATGAATGAATGAATGAACTTCCAATTCTCTGATAATATACTATATTTTATATGACAAATCATTTAAAAGACGAATTATTATTTTTGGGGTGATTTTGGGTGGGAATGATGATTTTCCTGATTATTTGTCATGCTAGTGGTTGCTTTGCAATTGGCTTCCTGGAAGATCAAACTTATCGGGAACAGTGAAATGAAAATTTCGTAATACTGAATGATTTACTGAAAGTAAAGATTGGTATGCAGTAGATAAAGAGTGAAGGGGATACCCGATCACAAAATAAATGTAGATGTAGCCGAGTCAAACTATGATGTTATGAGGCAATAATCCACGATGTGCCACGGCGGTTGCAACGTGACTTTGTTGATCACGTGAGTAACTTAACCAATAGCACCAGAGTCCATGCTTTCAAGTCACGTTGCAGTCGGCGTGGTACACTGACATACTGTCCTGTATGCTACAACCGCGCAACTCTTATTCTCCATACCCCCCAATTCCGTCTTTCCCAGCATCAAGCAATACGCTATGCCTTGGGTAAACCCCTGCATTAAAATTTCAAGCTGTCTTTGCTTTTGCCAACAGAACTAGACTCGTTCAACAATACTACCTTTATACTAGTTGCCAATATCACTTCGATGTTCATTTTCATTTTTCATCATAATATTAGAATTTATCCATTGGAATGCACCAGTTTTTTCCTTTTACTTCTGAAAATTATGTGATAGTGACTAGTGGAAGCACATGGATTTAATTAATGAATTATTGTGCAAAAATTTTTGTTTTTTTATCAATTAGTTAATCTAGTAGCTGTGAATACAACTGCCAAGGTTTGTGAATAATTGAGTATTTATAATTAGACGACAATAGTTTTCTCATTAGGCATCTTCAAATAACGTTAAATATTTTTGGAAAATATTATATATGATATTGAATTTTACTCCCACCTGAATTTTCACAATTGAATAATTTTTAGATGTAATACTAATTTCCGCGTTCTGAGGTGATTGATTTATTAATTGATACGTTTACGTTCTCGTCTCCATGCTGACGCGATACTTTTAGAAGATAGGTTTGATAAATATTGAAGTATTCAGTGAAATGCTTTCTCCATTCAATGGGTTTCATTGATTAATAGAAAACGTTGGAGAGTGGACATTTATTTAATCATCTTCTAGAAATTTGAGTGCGATTTGGGAAGGTTCATTTTTTGTTCAATTATATTATGATAATTCAATTGATAAACATGCGTTAATTCTATAATTGTGGGTGTACACCATAAGTAAATGATAACTTCTTGAGTCATCAGAATTGGATTCACCTTCTTCCATCCCTCTACCCATTTTTTCGCTCCGTGCTAATTGTCCATACACATTCGCACCGGATATGAATGTAGAATACATGGGTACGTCTACTTTCAGATACTAGAAATTTTTTGCCTTATTATGATTAGTTGGATTATTCGCGTGAACAATCTAATAATAGTTGCGTTGAAGTGTCGGTGAAAAAAAACCAGTCGATTATCGAATAATAACAGTTTATATTTTAATAAATTTTTGCTCTTGTATACCCTTGTGGATTATTAGGATTTCTTCCCTCTTCAACCCCCAATCTCCTGTACTGAATTCACCGAAGGGAGGGAAAACTTCATTTGAGGGAAAAAACTGCTGTGGTACAGTTGTCCTTTTGGCAGGACTACCGCTTGTTAGTGAAACTGTGAGAGTAGAGCGCTATAAATTTTGACGGCCGGTGGTTGGGATCGAACCCGGATCATTTGCATGCTAGTCTAACACTCGAACTCAGGCTCCCAACCCCCATTACGCCAATGATTATAAAAGAATGGGTCCTAGCGTATTGTGCAGGTAGTAGGAGGGGCGAGACCACGATGCTTGGGTCAGAGTGGGGGTATCGTTACGTCAGTCAGCGCGCAAAAATTTGAATTTTTGAACGAAAAATATGAATATATTTCTTGCTCTATTTTGTATTGTTAAAAAATATCAATTAATAATTTTTTTCTACATCAACAGCATTGTAAAACACTGGTGAAAAGATTTTTTATTTTTTGTTAATATTGTTTGAACACTTCCTAAGCAGTATTTGAAAAATTTAAAGGCCCACCCGTTGTGGGGGGATCCACCTTTTGATGACTCTTACGGGGCCGTCATCGCTCCTGTCCCCGATTTCGGTCGCAGATTGCTCTTGATCCTCTCTGAAATACTTCGATGATTCATTGTCTCTCTATACTTCTACTTCAATTATATTTCCTGTCCCCAATTTTGGTTGTGCAATTTTGAACTGTAAACCATTCCATCTCGAATTGTAGAGTAGACCAAATTTCAATGTAGACTGTTCTACTCCAGTTATATTTAACTTCTTTGGTGCTTTCGTCAACTTCATCAAGTGACTATTGGATTAATTGATGTGATAACATATTGACCACTTCACCGATCTTGTTAACATGTTTACTAAATGGAAATATTACAAACCACATATTACTGCACTCACAAAGTTTGCAGAAATACTTTGGAGATCAAGGATATGCATGAAAAAAAATCGTATTGATTTGCTTCTCTCTATCGATAATCGTACCAAGACTGAATCTTGTGATCATCTTCTGGTGTATCTATTAAATAGTCATCGATATGATAAATTGATAGTAGATTCTCATTCTGGGACGTATCAGAAATTCGATTGATTATTCCAATGACACACAGAATGGAAAGAGACAATTGTAGAAAGCCGATTGCATTTGATGTCTTCTCATTTCTCAACTTCGTAATTTCCATACACTGATTTGATGAAAATTTAATTTTTTTTCAGGAGAAAACTGTCGACTGAGAAGACATGGAAATCAATTTATATGGTTTACAACATCTCAGTCATCTCATGGCTACATAATAATTGTCTTAAAATGGCGGAGCGTCAACAACGTAATGAGAATCAGTTGGCATCTAATTTAAAATCATTTCCGTCTGATGCAAAACATGTTGTACACTGGTTTAGAAAAGGACTTCGGCTGCATGATAATCCATCATTAAGACATGGGCTCAATGAGGCTTCCACATTTAGATGCGTTTTTGTCATCGATCCTTGGTCGGCAGGTAGTAAGAGCATTGGGGTCAATAAATGGAGGTATAGTATATAAATGGATTTCTATGAAATAATTTTTTTTCACAAATATTTGAAATTTTTGACGCCAAATAACGAATATTAATAGGTTTCTACTTCAATGTCTGGAAGATTTGGATTCTTCATTGAGGAAATTGAATTCTCGGCTCTTCGTCATAAGAGGTCAACCAACTGATGTTTTACCAAAACTCTTTCGTGAATGGGGGACAACACATTTGACGTTTGAAGAGGATCCAGAACCATTCGGTCGGGCCCGTGACCATAATATATCAACTTTATGTAAAGAATTAGCAATATGTGTAATGGCGATGGCTTCACATACGCTCTACAAACTAGATGAGTAAGTTTTCTATTTCCTCATGACTATGTATCGCTGGAATTTTTCCATGGATGATTCATTATCATTATAATCAATACTCATCTATATCGACGAACAGAAGAAAGTCTAAACAAAACATTAATAACCATTCTAAAGACAGAGATCGATTGTCTTGCTGAATTTGTGGACAAAAAGTGGAGTAGATGAAGCCCGTAAGTTTTTCAATTCAAATCTCCCTAGACAATAAATAAAAATACAGTGATATTGCAATGCAACGGTCCACAAGCTCCACATTTGTTCATCGATCTTACAAGGACTGCAAAACCTTCGATCATTGCTTTCTTCCAGCAGTCGAAAAGTGAATACTTATCTGATTGTTATTTGACCACAAAAACTTCACGGAATCTTCATGGAAGTAACATCTTGGGCCTTATTTAAATAGCGATGATGAGCAGGAGCATATCTACATAACCCCGCGCCCCGGGGACATATCGTCTAACGGCCGGAGATGGCCCTCAAGCCTATTCTTTGGCTCTCCTCGGTAGCGTGTAGGTTCTTCATCATCTAGTCCTTAGCACTCTTTGACTTTAGGACTGGCATTGATATTATATGTGGATGCCCTTATATCTTTGTTACGCAACAGAGACTCTTCCCAATTAAATCCGGCCCCCAATCTAGTGAGAATTGAAATTTTCTTGAGTTTTATGGTACACCGTAAGGCAGTGAGGAATAGGTCTAAGTCCCTTGATCGCTTAAAATGCCTTAGCCCCCGCCCTCTTCTTTCTTTTGTGCTGAGATAATAAGTGAGAGAGTTATATTAATTACCTTACTATTTCGTTTCCGAAGTCGTGGACCAGTCCTCGGATCATAATTCCGTAAGGATTAATAATCAATTTGAAAGAATATCGTTTCTGTTTTTTTTCTCAATTTATGGAAATTCCGTTCCCTTGAAGAACGAAGTGAAATGAGGGAGCCAGTGAATACAGCAACCTACAACCATCTTCAATTTTTCCGATTATGTCTGATTTCAGAATTCTCGACAGAAATAAAGGCAAAGCTCCTTTAACATATCATCAGTTCCAAACAATTGTAGCGGCAATGAATCCACCAAGTCCTCCAGTGGAAATTGTCACTGCAGAGACCATTGGTAATGCTTATACTCCCCTACAAGAAAATCATGATGAAATTTATGGTGTGCCTACACTGGAGGAGCTTGGTAAGTGTCAAATGGGCTATGTCATTTCGGGATCTTCTTCATTATTTAGTTGGATTTTTCTTGTTCGCCATTCATTTTATTGTAAAATTCTCGAATTCGACTCATAGTGAGTCATTACTCTTAATAGGGATGTTGATAGGGATAAATCACACGTAGATACCTTAGAAATGAATATCTCTCAGGGAGAATAAACTCCTTTAGTAATTAGACGGGTTATTAAATAAATAAAAAATTTGGTAGGATCCATTATAAGTTACAAAAAGGTGACTTAACGAATCGTCGTATTACTAATTGACTGTACTTAATAAACTAATCCAGAGGCACCGAATTCACCAGTTTATATTTCATCGTGGATTTGATTGCAACAAGTTTTTATCTTCGTTTTATACCTGGAGAGGCAACGGGTGGTCGTAACCGTTGACGGCGCGAAAGGCCGACGCTGCATCCCAGTGATCCACATTATGACGAATATACATGGACATTATCCGGGAATAGTTGGGTTAATTTCTATTTCCTCAATACACATTACAACATTATCTGATTCAATATTACATGTTTTTGCATTATATGCGCCGCTTTATGTTTCCTCATATTATCTAGATCAATGAGAAATTGCCTAATGATATTTTTTAATTTAATGGTATTTCTAGAGCATAACACTACGAGTTCCGTGATTCTCTCAGAGTACAGGAAAGACTGATCACTAGACGTATGAACTTCATTCGATATAGCTTCAAAAGGGGTTTGAAGGTTGAAGGGGAATTGATGCCTTTATTCAATGATTTCGCTAGCAAAGAAAGACTTCGCTCGATACCAAAAGTATCAAATGAATAGAAATTGCAAGAAAGTAACTTAATGTATCGTCGAATTACTAACTGACCCAGAGGCAATAAATTCCGATTACATCAGGTAGTCTAACAGAGCGAAATCCAATATATGTGGATATTATCCACGAGTATTATTTTATATTTTGTAATTTTCCGAGTATTTCGAATAATACGTGCCATTTTCGTATTCTGATATGATCTAGATCAACAGGGGAATTTCTCGACGATATTTTTGGGTCATAACAATAGTCAAACTTTTCTTTTACCTAAGCAACTTATATTTTGTCATAAACACATGGACATAAAGTAATCAGGTACTAGTCCGAAGAGAGGTTAACTCACAGAAGCTGTTCTTGTTCAAACCATATTATATTAATAGTAACTTTGGTGTAGTCAACGGTAATATGAAATAAAAAGGGCTTTATTTTTTTGTTTGTAGGTTTTGACATCGAAGGTCTGAAGCCCCCAGTATGGATAGGTGGTGAGAGTGAAGCGCTGATCAGACTCGAGCGTCATTTGGAACGAAAAGCTTGGGTGGCGAGTTTTGGACGTCCCAAAATGACACCCCAATCTTTGCTACCAAGTCAAACAAGTCTTTCGCCTTATTTACGTTTTGGCTGCCTTAGTACGCGACTTTTCTACTATCAACTTCGGGCTCTCTACAAAAAGGTGAGGTGATTAGGGGAATCCTACTAATGTAAGAAGATCGTTTGGCGGGGATTTTCAAAGCTCCTTCTTCAATAGTTTGAAGCTTTAAAATTTAAACGCTTTGCAATCAATTAATTTTGGTAAAGATTTCGAAGTGTAATCTCATGAAAATGAGTGGTGTGAAGAAGCCAAATTTCTCTATGGGTACATGTCTTTGAATTGATTGTGAGTCGTATCCGTATTAACATGGTGTCCATAGATATATCGCATATTCCTATCATCTTGCTTCAACAATACCAAAAAGTTAGTATTGTGACGAATAAGATGTTTTGGGATATACATATATTGTGGCTTTATATATCATTCGCATTAAGTTCAGCATGAGTTATGAGGGTGATAGAACAAGAGATCAGTGGGAGATGAAGATTCAGTAAGATAATCAATAAATTATGTTGTTGAACTACAAATCCCCGTTTATCAATATTGTGATGATACGGTGATGCACAAAACCCGTTGAGTAGTTCGCTTGCATTCATTCTGGAGTCAGTCTTCTAGATAATGGGTGTATTGACTCGAATAATCGACAGAATCTTGCATAATGCTGATGAAACCTTGGAACGTGTATCATGAAAGAAGCTTGTTGGAGTGAGAAAATTACTGCCTGGACAGTAGCTAATGCTATGAAAACTAAAACTGCCTTAGGATTTGAATTGAAGAAGAGGAAGAAAGTTAAAGAAAGATCTACGAAATGTGGGAAACGTCTGGTAGAAGAAGATGAAGAAAACACGCAGTGGCAGTGTTGGGACAAACCAGTTGCTGTAGACAAAATCCTTAAAGTAGCAATCCATGCGCCCTGGGGATGAAATCAAGTCAGCTTTTCAGGCTGCACAACATTTAATAAAGATAATTGCAATGGTCATCTGCCTCTTTTAAGCCTTACAAAATAGGACTGGGACTTTATTTAAAACCAAGAAACTGATCAAGCTACCACACTGAGCACTCACTGATGCTGATAATGTAGATTTCTCCGAATCCATCATGATTGCACATTTTTGAGAAGTTCATATGGGGAATGAACGTCCTATTAAGGGTTGCTTGGGTTGTCCAGGATGCAAGGGATAAATTATTCCTTAGCGTTGTGTTTTCCGACGTGAACTCCAGCCGAACGCCGACTCAGCTGTAACTAAGCTTTAGTTCAGAACGCTGAACAGGATTACTCTAGACTCAGTAATACTTTGATTTATTGCCTGTAAGTCACTCAATGGCCTACAAGAATAACATTACAATATCTCATACACTCATTAATATTTGCGAGCAGGTTCGAGTTAATTGTTGGTCAATTAATAATTATTGTTAGCTCTCCGTTGCAAATAATATTCTAATTTAATATTGCAGGTGTTTTGAATTACAACAAAACACGTATCATATGCCGAAGTCGATACACGGCATCCCTAAGTGAGATACCATTAGATACTCGCCTTTAGTCTCTCCTTCATTCCCCCTCATTCCTCATAAGAAGACGCCAACAGTTATACAAAATCAAGCAAATTTTCCTTTAAGAGTTTTTACTCAGCTTCTTGAGAAACCTGATAGAGGACGGCGTCAAAGACCAAGGGTAAGTCGGCGACGGTTCGACACCAAGTACGTCTCCTCGCAGCTTCCAGTATGGCCACCCCCCAGATGACCCGTACGAGAAATATTCGGCAGACGATTATCCGTCCCCACACGGACGTCGTCATCACGGAAGGAATTCCTGGAGTCTACTCTCCAATGAATTATAAATTGGTCCTAGGCTAACCCCGACAGTCTAAACGCAGACGTGTTCTTCGAAAAATTAGATACTGGTTTCGGGGAGAAGTCTGTCTTCAACAATAATTTTGATCAGATTTTACAGATCGTTTGCGGTAAAAGAGCGGAGATTATTGATGGCAGGGGAGAAGCCTTAGTAAAATTACATAATAACAAAAACGTTCAGGCTGACCTACCTAAAATTCCATCCAGCCAAGAAGATCTGTTTGGTCGGAATGATCTTGCTCCTGTCATTCAATCATTGGGTGGCCCAGAGAATTGATAGGCCATACCTTCCTATGTCGCAAAGAAATTAACACCCAGGAGAGATTCCAATCCTTACAAGTCAAGTGGTAGTTATCAACGGCCCTCAGGAAAATCCGTTTTTTCTTCTAAGAAATCACAGGATTTTCGCCGCCACAACTCAGGAAATCGCCCTGCCCTGAAGAAGGATTTCGCCAAACCCATGCATTGGAATATTTTAACGAGGATGTTTTGTGTTTCAAGGTGAAAAAAGCGGTGCCACCACTCTCACTACACGGTCAACTACTATGGCGTGAATTTTTTTACTGTGCAGCAACAAAAAATCCGAATTTCGATCGTATGCAAGGGAACCCGATTTGCTTACAAATTCCATGGGATAAAAATCCGGAAGCTCTGGCTAAATGGGCCAATGTAAGTAAACAATCGAATTCTATGATTTTTACTCCGAAGGAGAGCTTTTGAAAATTGAAGACTATTTTTTGTCTAATTGAAGAAGTTGAAAAGATAAGCTAATAATAAGTTGAGTTAGGATTTGTGGATGATATTCTTGATAATAATCGTAATACAGATATGTAGGGATTCATACTAGAAAAGTTGTTGTCATCTCATCTCGTCTCAAAAGTTTTTATAGCTTACATTTCTATTCTTGCTTGGAGACTAACTCTTATATTTCTCCTCGACGTCTTCGGTTCGGACATTTTCCTCCTACCATTTCCACTATATTGTTTTTCAAATTTTCCTCGATACACTTAATTGTATATTCATATAAACTGATCCTCTAGTCTGTCCTAAACGTAAGAACCGTCACTTCCTGTCCTATTCTCCTTAATTTGACCGTCTACAGTTTTATTCATCTTGAACGTACACAAAGTCTCAACTGTCTCTTTTTTTCCGTATATATCCTGAATTCGTCCCTACTACTCCTGTCTTATCCATTCATCCATACTATTTCCTATCTGATTGCACAATTGACTTGCCTGATTTAATCTGTTCTTTTCGATGTCACATTGAGCTCAAAGGAGAAACATTATCCCTTCGGAAACTGGGCTAATGCTAACTTATGATGTTATTCTTTTTCGATGAGGTATTGAGTGTATCGACTTAAGTTGATCTAAGATTTAGTTACTCTGGCAAACTGCATGTCCACCAACTTAAGACGGCTGGTTTGTCACTGAAGCCCTCCTGCATTCTGATTACGGAGTTGATAGAACCTAATAACCTGACTCGATCTATATCAGCATAATTCAATATGCATCCTTCCCGATACAAGTAGTTCACACATTCTTTTGATAGTCCTTGCTTGGATGGTTGTCCTGAGGTCATTGGGTATTAATCGAAATTCGTTTGACTGTCAAAGGGCCAAACTGGCTTTCCATGGATCGACGCGATTATGACGCAATTGAGAGAAGAAGGTTGGATCCATCATTTGGCTCGTCATGCAGTAGCTTGTTTTTTGACTCGAGGCGACCTTTGGATTTCCTGGGAAGAAGGAATGAAGGTAAGATACCACATAAATTTGGATATTTTTATTGATAGTTAATGATATAGTCCAGTAGAAAATTGTGAATAATAATCACTTATAATGGATAAGCTCATCACGATATTGAAAACATAGAAGCGTCTCCTCATATACGGAATGATAGCGGCTAGGCTAGTTGAGACCAACCTGAACAGCTAATAAATAATTATGTCTCAAAGAAACATTTGCTCTAATTCATTCTAGCTAACCACGTTACCCCTTCAAGTAAGAATCTCTTTTATAACAAATTATCAGCGCGAGTATAAATTACAATGGTTCTACAGTAGGAGCTCATTTCTGCACTAACCATCAGTTCATTAATTAAAAAAATTTCATGCTTGCCTTTACCTCTGATTTGCTGAAATTAAGTCCTATACTGTAATGCAGCGGTGAGCAACCTCAGTTGTCGGAGCTACTCTAGCTCCTGACCTCCATTAGGCAAACGGGTCCCAAGCTGTTGACTGTTAAATTTAAACCATCAGCTTTTAATTCCTTTTTTTCTTAATGAAAAAGAAAATGTCCAAACACGTGCATAAAAATTCAAACCATTTAGCCGCACTTCAATCACGCGCATGCGCTATCTCCCGATGTTACCCCCACCACACAAATATACGTTAACCCTTGTAATCACGTTAGGTCCCTTATAATAGGAACCTTAATAATTTTATGGCTAGGTCTTTTCTTTATTATGTTCTAAGATCTTTGATGAGTTACTCTTGGATGCTGATTGGTCGGTCAACGCTGGCATGTGGATGTGGTTGTCTTGCAGCTCATTCTTTCAACAATTCTTCCATTGCTACTGTCCAGTCAGATTCGGGAGGAAAGCGGACCCAAATGGAGATTATATAAGGTAAATTAACGTTCATTCTTCAATATTTTTGCTCTATGAATTTCTGGCCCCTATATGGATCGAGAAGAACGGGTGCAATGGATACAATGCATTTAATGATAAGAGAACATAGCTTTCGAGATTTTTCACTTGGAGGATTTGATAACAAATAACTAATATTCAGGATCAACAATTGCAGAGAATCCTATGCCTACCAAAATACAGAAACTCTTCATCAGATACTTAATCAGCAATTTCCCAATGAATATTCATTTCTACTATTATTTAGGTTTTCTAATTTAAATGAGTGATTGTCATTGATTCGGGTCTTGTTTCGGTTCGGATTAACAGCACCTATTAAATATTAATCTGTGTCGTACAACGGCTTCTCAAATTACGAGCTCACTGATACTCCAATTCAACATTTCAGAATTATTTTTCTTCTGTGGCCGCTGATGCCGAATACTATTCACAGCAACATTTAATTTATCAAATGCTGTTGAAATTTACTCTGGAAGACAGGAATCGTAATGTTATTTACATTTACGTTTACAGGCGATATCTACCAGTCCTCAGACATTTTCCTACTCGCTACATACACGAACCCTGGATAGCACCTTTGAGTATTCAGCGTGCTGCAAAATGTATTATTGGACATGATTATTCATTGCCTATAGTCAATCATGGGCAGTGTTCGAAAACCAATATCGAAAGGATGAAACAAGTCTATCAACAATTGAAGAAATACCGTGATAATGGTGAGTGAAACAGATATCCTACTGGCTTTTCAATAGAGTTTATCACGAGATCTACTGCGCAGTCCGTGCGCCAAATTTGAATTTCGACTTCGGATTCGAGTTGACCAATAAGGAATCAGTCTTACGAGTTTCGACTCAGGCAAACTTCATTTACGTATCTCTGCTTTCATGATAAGGATTTCATGCTTACTCCTCTATCTGGCCCCATAGCGAATTGCTCCAACAATATAACATATATCGTAAGTAAAAAGATACACCAATCCGAGTTCGAAGTGATATTTCGAGACGGAATCGATTTCGAGATAGAATCATTCCCGAAATGATACCTGGCCCATATTCATATTCAAGTGCTTCCGAAATGTTAATGTCTGAAGTGTTAATTACGCTTTTCAGTTCAAGCTGGCTTGCTGTGGGTATGATCTGGAGGTTATGGATGACTGGTGAGTCGTTCTGGATCTGATGGCTCTTTCGATGCCCGGCAACGAAAGTGAGATAGTAAGACGGCAGCACATCCATAAGGCACATCTCTTACTAATCTCTAATTTTGAATGACAGCCAAATTAGGAAGGAAGGAGTATTAAGTGTAAAGCAAAGCTAACATGTTGACGAGGATTCTTCCGTTGTAATCAATAATATTTTGTGAAAAAAAAGCTTTCAAGTACCAAAAACATTAAAATGGTTACAGTGATTTGAATAACATATTTGAAAAGGGTAAATATGTGGTATAGGTCCACCAAAACCAATAATCATTGAAATATCAATTTCTCTGAGGGAAATCTATTCTTATTCTCTCGGCATCAAGAAATAAAAAGAGAAAAGAGAATGAGAAGCAACAAGGAGAAAAATACATCACCGAATAGTTCTGAGGTGAACTCTGTCGTCCCAGAAATTGCTCAGTCTGAAAGTTCGGTAATTTTTCGGATATTTTCCTTAAAGGACAATTCGGATCATGAGAGAAGCTGGTAAGAAAACGGAAAAGTCCCAGAATGCTCAGGTGTCCACAATCGCATTGTAATCTCGTTTTTTTTTTCTAGAATCACGGCACCCGATGCATAATCGGAAGGTCCCGGGTTCAAATCCCGGTCTGGACTATCCATTTTTTCAGTAATTTTTTTTGTAAAAATTATATCGAGAATTATCCTACCTAATCCAAATCCTATCCAACGATTCCTTTGACGTCACAAAAATGTGGAACCTCGCTTCGCTCGGATAAAAACGCGTTTTCGGCCACAATGACATGATTATTATTTCCGACACTGGGGATCGAACCGGGAACTTTACGAGTACTAATCGTATATCCTAACCACTAGGCTATCGCGCTATTATTATTGAGTGAATTCTGTTTTGCTTATACGATGTGTATTGGGGATATTTGTTTATTTTAAAAGGCGAAAATTAATTTAACCGAAATTTCATCTTCTTTGCTTTTAATAATTTTACTGTTAATAATAATATCAATAATAAATTAATAACCTACCTAATCCAAACTTAATCGAAGTGACTACTGGGAGACAGCACAATTTCAGGTCAGGTCGACCTGTTAAGAATCTTCTCGAAATAACTGCAGGAGTACGGATCTCAGTTTAAGTTTTGGATCACCTGATCCGAACTTCATTAAAGTGATTACAGGTGAACGGCCTCAGGTCCAGATCAAACTCACCATATCAGAACCTGATGAGAGTAGTACAGGTCAGGTTGAGTAAATCGAAGACTGATCAGTTTCTCATCAAGTTTTTCCTGATCAGTTGAAACTGACCACTGATATGTCAAGTCCTCATCAAACCTCAGAGTTTTTAGGGTACACGACACGAAAATTCACGTAATTCTACGTAATAATTTACCGGATGTTCATTTTCACTGAGATTTCTCTCTTCGTATGGACCATACCACCAAATATTGATGGAAATCTGGTCTCAAAATTTCCACTGTTCAATGAAGTATACGTGTAAATAAAAGTCTATACATGAATGACAAGATTAGGAGAACTAAGATGAACTGATATTCCGATTATTAATACTTTGGGTAAATGTATGGTTTAGGTCCACCAAAAATAAAAATCATAGAAATATTAATTTCTATGACAAAAAATCCATTCTTAACCTCTCAGTTCCCATCAATAAGACGAAAGAAGAGAGTGAGAAACAGCAAGAAGGTAAATACATCGAAAAATAGTCCTGAAGTAAACTCTGTTGTCCCTGAAATTCCTTAAACCCCCCTTTCCCCCTGTTGTCGCTGTTGACATGACGAGTGAGTGATATTAAATTCAATAATTTGAATTGCTACAGAAGGGTAGCGGCGGATAAATCACTCGTTGTGTTCAGTCAGCGATGGTAGATGGTCGGGTGAGGTGAATTCAGAGTTTTAGTGAAGTGCTCAGGACTATTTGATGAAATCCATCGTTCTGTGTGTCCATTGTCTATAAATGTGCCAACATGTGGTGTCTTTGGGGCTGACGCACCGCCACGTCCTCGCCGTGGCCCTAGATAACGCAGAGAGCGGTGTAAAATGTCATATCTCCCATACTAATTGTTTCCGAATAAAAAGATGATCAGATCATTAATTTGGTGACGGAAACCCATCCAACCAAATAAAAAACATCCAAAACGGTTTGGTGGACCTGAACTAGACATTTACCGCTTCCTTTTTTGGGAAAAGTTAAACCTACTTCATCGTTCAATGGTTAATGTTTCAATTCCAAAAATTACGGGCAGAAATTTAGTCCGTTTTTTTTCAAGAACATGGGAAAAAATTTAATCCAAAAATGATTTGACGATGCGGGACGCGAATAATTATCAAGCAATTTATACACGACTAGGAAAAGACAGCAAATTAAATGTAAAAAATCTAAACGTATAATGTCCGTCGATGTTCGGTGGAAAGACGCAGATACATGCGTGTCTAAGAATATATGGACATGAAAAGTATATGACAATGTATTTTTCCTCATATATGGAACTTCAGATAGACATATATACAGGAATATATATGGGAAATATATAATGAGTATAGAAATCTTATATAAACCATGTTTCTTCCTATGTCTATCATACTTATATAGGCAAAAACATGCAGAACGTATTCTATTTTTGCCATATATTCATTTCTGAGGGAATGAGAACACATGAATGAAAAGGCATTTTTAGATCTTAAAAATTTTCAAAGTGCCTTTAAGAATCATCGAGCGAGGTAATGGGAATAAAAAAATCATAAAATGGGATGTATTTTTTAATTCCCTCTATTTCGCCCGATAATTCTCAAGGTGAAACTAGAATTCAGTATGAAACACGGATAGTAACAGAAAGTAGTTGGTTATTCTACAATATTTCTTTTATTCTGACAGCGTATACTAATCTCCTCTAATTTTTTACTCTCATCTCATTTTTTCTCGTCTATAATAGATTTCCTAGGCCGCAAGATTTTTCTTTAATAATAAACTGATGTTTCCAAGGAAAGCCACCAATGTTCGGTTTTTCTTGGCCCACACATGAAATTTCACACGGAAAATACGTACAAAAACAATATAAAATAAAATAAAGAATTCTTTAAGAAGGTAGATCTTATATGTCTTAATATCGTACTGAATTTGTGCGTATCATGACCTATATCCTCGTGCTCATTAAAGGAAGGAGAGGCAGATTGTGTGGCAGTGGGGGTGAAATGCATGCGGCAATCGTGTCAAGATGCGATTTTTTATGTTGGATAATTGCCACGAATCCTTATCTGTTTTGTTACTAACACCTAAATATGTCTGTCTCTGAAAAAGTCTCTGCCTTCTCCCCTTTCCCTCCCCTCAACTATCGTTTATTAAGTTCTCGCTCAAAATATCACAGAAAAAATATCTCATACCAAAATACAAAAATATGCAAAAAAATATTTCATGCTAAAAAAATAGTAACTACTAATATTTTATACAATAATATGCCAAATGAAAAGATCATAGGCAATAAATATCACGGGAAAATGAAACTCAAAAAAATGTGAAAAAATCGAAGGAAATGGTAAATCTAGAAATAATTATAAATAATTGGAAAAACGAAGGCATGATCGGAAGGACAGACTGTGAGTAATGCCGCATGGATAAACCGAATGATGCATTTTATCAGATAATTATAAACTAATGAAACCGATGAGTTTCAAATATTTATTCCACTTCGACTTCGTCCAATTACACATTGAAAAACCAAAGTGAAATATTTTGGCTTGTGATATTTTTCCATGAAATATGTTGGCTTTGTGATATTTCTACTGACACACTATTCTCGGGGATATTTTAACGAGAAATTTTCCGATCGATCACCTCTTCTTCACTTCCTTGATAATTAACCCACCATTTCCAAAAGTCAGATGTAACTTTAAAACTAATTTAATGAAAAAAATTTTACGAAAAAGGAAAATAAATGAATAAAGGAAGGGAAACGAAATCACACATTTTATCTTCTATCACCATATCACGTTTTGGCTATGAATATTTTGTGTTTTCCTTCATTTTCATTGCTACAAAAATGTATGTATATTTTTGTTTTTGAAATTTTCCAAATAGGTGCATCATTGAATTCAACATAGTTGATTTCATTATCCTATGTTAACTCAATATTTTTTGTTTTTACCTGCTTTTCATTCGCAACAATGCGTTTTTCATACTCTTCCTTTTTCTAAGTCATTCATAATTTGCAACTTCTATTACTCACTTTATCATTCATAATTTGCTCATTGTGACATATTTTCTCTTTTTGTCCGACGTCCATTGTAAGAGCTATATATTTATGTAATGACTAAACGAACACATATTATACCTCGATAACAATAATCATTTTCAACCTTCATTAAATGATTACTTTTTTTTTTATTTGTGGGGACTTTTTTCATCAACCCATCCAATTCTGCTCTCACCACTTATAATAATTTTATTTTGAACGGATTTTCTGTTTGATGCCATCGCACAAAATCTTTTTTTTTCCAGGGATATCTTCTACAATTATATCATCTGCCCACTGTTCTACCACTTTTTAATTAAGTTCCTTTCTGTATGAATTGCTTTTCAGATTAATTCAGATTTTTTGCGGTTTCTTATTTCTTGATGTTCGATAAACGATTTAATCACTTTTTTAATTACAATAATTATTTAATGTATTTATATATAAGTAAGTGAATTGTATATAATAATTGTATTATTAAATCATCACGGTATCCTCCTTCCCTTCTTTGATTTCAATTTCATCGCTATCAATTCATTAATTGATGAGTTCTTCACTTGAAATTTAGATAATATAGTTTTCCTATTGTTATTATTGTATTTTAAATATTATTGTTAGGTCCTTTCGGGATGAGTATGCAGTGATCCTGTCTTCTTCATTATTTTGCCGTCCCTTCATTTGCTAGTAATTTTATTTTCCTTTTGTTCTCTCACTTCAAGTTAAAATTAACTCTCAACATGAATTCCATCCTTCGTATTTGTCCCTTTTTGAAAGGAGCATTGTCCAAACAATTAAAGCCGACAATTCTAAAATCACCTTTTGCTTTCATGTAGACGTTATACCTCTTGTAAACTTCGTGGCAACAAAATTCATTCGCTACGTGACTGATCGTTCAGAATTCTGTGTTAGGATTTAGTGAATTCAATATTATTTTCGTATCGTGTGGCTTGAAAGGTACAATTTTTTGAAAGGTACTAGTTCGTACCTCGCCAGGAAAAACATATCATCGTCATTATCTCCAATGCATGGGGTAAGAGATGATGTGATTTTCAGGACTCGAGGATGGAAGGAACTCTTGATTTTTAATGCCAAAAGTGGAAGTATGCTTGGTGGAAGGCAATGTTAGCTTATATTGATGAAAGGAAAAAAAATGAAATGGGAAGTTTTATTTTATGCCACAATATGTATATTTAATATTTAATTTGCATCATTTTGATGTACTATGTCTGCATGGAATTCTTCTCGTGGCCGACAAAGATCGACATGATCGTAATAATCACGCAGACACTGGCCTGACCCTGTCATCGGTGATTTAGCAAAGAGACTTGAATGTGTCCCTGCTTTACAATTTCTAATCTTATTATTTAATTCATCAATTTCAATTATTATTTCAATATTTTCAGGTTTATAGTTCGGTCATTCTATTGAACAAATTATATTCAATTTCCGTGAATTTATTGCTTTGACGAAATTTACCCCTCAGAGACAAATGCGATCGATTAAGGCCCCACGAGTGCGGGCATAACTGCTTACTAAATTTCTGAAGTCTAGTCGACGAGTGTATATTGATGGAATAATTCATGAAATTTTGCACGTCTCTACTGGCCACGATAATCCGTTAAAATTATCCTGATTGTTTTTGAATTTCAGGATATTCCGGCGAAGTGGAGGGAATTCCGAAAAATGCAGTCAATGTTATGAAAACCTTTTTAGAGATTGAAGAATTTATTAAATAACGATATGCAAAATTCTGAACTTCTTGATACCCTATCTAACTTCATGCATGAGTAGTTAGTTCAGGATTTTTTGATATTATTGCCCTGCCCCTAGCCTGTATGATTTTCTGCATATCATTGTTTAATGAATTCATCATTGTATTAAAAAAACTTCATGACATGGGAAACATTTTTTAATTCCCTTTATCTCTTCTGATTATCCGTAAGTTATTTTTCTTGTATATTAAAAGTGTAGTTTTCGTGTAATGGCAAGGTGGAAGAGAACAAAATCCCAATCAACTGGACTCAACCATGAAAAAATAATTGTGTCGCTCTAAGTTGAATCTGATTTGTGCCATTTATTGACCCATAGGCATAAACATACATACACAATTTCACAATTTTTTACATCCATATATCTACACTCGTGGGGCCTTAAGAAGATTCTTCCCACTTCCATGTGCTGAACCAGTATTGCCGTCGTCTTCTTCTCTTCAGGCGTCCACCACTTATCCTGACTTTTCTCCATATTGAAAGACTATGACGACAATAACACCATCTGTCAAATGGAAAAGATCCTGTATCCCTATCATGATGGTAATTATCTTGTTCCCTCAAATTCACGCGTTTTGGAAGATGGCGCAACTCGAATATTGGCAAAAAGATTTTTGAAGTGCATCTATACGCTGTCAATAACCAGTAATACCAGTGTCGCCAACGGCATACAAATAAAATCCACGCTAGGTTATAAAACATCACACGAGATAACTTTTGAGCCACTGTTGTAATTATGGGCGATTTTATTATTGATAATGTGTATTTTATGGCTGTTGATTTGGAAACAGTCCGAGTATCATTTCTCACTAACCAGAATGGCACATTACATTTTAATTCAGCTTTCAGCGCTAGGCTTAAAGGAAATGCCATCTGATATACGGAAATTAAAGTAACCCAAATCCACAGAAGACACAGTAACGATATTGGAACTGATGGTAATGCTAGATGACTCGATGATGACGATAATGATGGTGCCGAGTCAGTTCCACCACTGACACAGAATGAAGAGGAGGCACTCGTGGTAGATACTGGTGCCGATAAGGACAATTCTGGACGATCTTCTGCATTATTTCGTGGATCTGAAAGAAATACGGAACAAACGGTCAACGTCGTAATTATACGGTAAGTAAAATAATTGCTGTAATTATATGATTGAAACATATTCAGCTCATATAGGTCTTGCTGTCGAAAGAGTGCAAAGAAATGCAAAAATACATCAAAGATTCTAATCCGGATTTAATATCTTGTCCAATTGTACTTAACCTGCAGTTGGAACAGATAAGCTAGATTTGTAATACGATGTAAGTTTTTCTTCTAACCCATTTTTTTCATAATATCATTGGGTTAAGGGCCCAGGAAATCACCGTGGAAAGCTAGCAAAAATGACGTGCTGCCCAGTGGTCCATGGAAAACCGTTTTGGTTTATTAGGTGGGATAGCCTATAGGTCTGCGCTTCAATAGTAGAGAGAGGGTCAGGGAATCTTCGGTTAAGTACGGTTGGAAGGCCATGTCAGTGGAATTATCTCCCTCTTTACATGGATCGCCAGAGCTTTGCGATTCAACAAAATAGAGAATTAGTTATGGTTCAGAACAAATTCAAGATTCTTTTCAGCTAGAAGACTCTCAGTCCCTCTTCGGAGAGGGCCCCTGACTGATGGCTGCCTAATTTCAGACATAGACCCGATTTAAAATTTCATATAAAAATTCTAGTGAAAATAGAGGAATAGATACGAGGATAACATCAAATTGAAATTTGAATGCATTACGCACTGTAAACTCGGAGAACAAAAATTAGTATGGGTCCAGACTACCGGATGGGCAAGCCCGAGAGGGACCTCCACCATGAGCAACAGGTTCGAGTGGAACCATGCAACCGGCTGGCAGCAGTTCACCCCCGGCCATCAACGGACACACGGGCATTTGTTTCACCAAAGAGGATTGATGTACGTAGGGATTAACTTCTAGGGGTTTGACTGGCCCAAGCATGGGAAAATGGACTCGCCTATCAGTATAATACTGAGACGGCTGAAGGTCAGACATTCCAGCGGTACAATGATGCCACGAGGGTCAGTTAACTCACAGTCCTACGTCAATCCGCTTTGCGTTTCACTACCGCACCCACACCGTCGAGAACACCCACCGACAACGTAAGTTTCGACGAAAACCACCCCAAGGGACTTCACTCGCACCATGGTAAGTACCACTGCATAAATATCTAGTGAAGATGGTGCAGGAAGTGAAATTCTTGGATAAGTGTGCGTCCCCAATTCGGGAATTGCGAATGGCGTCGCTACCTTAAGATATGACGCCATCCAGGAAACTCATGGTTTAAAACGGCAAGAAGCCTCTCCCAAACGTCAAATATGCTACCTAATATTCCCTTACAGCTACCTGACCGTTTTGGGAATGCTATATCTCAACCTTCACTCCGTAAAACCGAAATTACCGGGATGAGGAATTTCACACGGCCCGAAGAGGGCGCAGTCATAAACTTTACGGCTTGGAACAATTTAGCCTAATTGAGGTCGGGAGCTGTAGTAGCTGCCAGAGTGGAGGTTGCCCATCTCTGGATTAATCATCAATAAATTCAATACTCTTGAATGTGGACAAAAGTACGTAGGTTCACCATTAGAGGGGAAGGATTACTATTAAGATATCTGAGGGGGATTGAAAGAGGAACAACTCGTACTCATTCGGCGCTACCAAACCTACTTGGGTTGGTTCGAAATCTCAAGAAAACGGGAGCAACCAACCGTACTGCAGTCTCCGATTATTCGCTCTAGGCCAGTACTTCAGGAGACCTAATGGGCACATACAAACCCTTTTTCCGCAATTTTCTCAATTTTCTTACATAACGCGGATAGGGGAAAGCTACCCGAATAATTCCTCCGGGGACGCGATCGGGATGAAACTCTGAAAACGAGCTGCCTACTACTTAATTACCAGTCGGGAACCGCCAGCTAACTAATTTCCTGGGATTAGCGACCTGCTACCTGATTTTCGCTCGGAGACAACTACGTGAATAAATCCCCCAGGAAGATTGCCTGCTGACCAACCCGGTCCGGAAAATTGGGATATCCATTGACGCTCCCAGGTTCGCAGCGTCGAGATTTAAATACACTAATAATTAGAGAAATCATTACGGCTAGGAAAACTATCGCTAAGATACAGTTACGGTAAAATTTACTAAAATCTCTGAATCCCATAAAATCCTCCTTTGTTAATGGTTGATATTAGTTCAGAAGAAATCGGGGCAAGGGCCCAGGAATCATCATGGAAAATTGGCGGACATACTGTGCACCCAGGGGCCCCTGGAAACTCTTTTTGGTTAGTTGGATAGGGGAGCCCATAGGTCAGTTTGAGACATCCGCGCTCCTTTAGTCGCGAGTAGGTTGGGGTAATCTTCAGTTTAGTACAGGTGGAAGGCAATGTGAGCGAAAGTAGTCCTTCATTTGCATAGGTTGCCAGGGCTTTACGGTTTTGAAGATTAAGCTTCGTTACAGTTATGGAAAATGTAGGATTAGTTATAATTTCGTATAAAGTTAGGATTCCTTTCCGATAGAACGGTCAACAAAGGGTTGGGGGTTATGGTCAGTGACTTGGTCATAACTGTTTCTTAAAAAATCCTGATTCTATACATGAGTAAATTACAATAACTAGCATTAACAGCTATGGCAACGAGCATTGTTCCCACTTTCTTATTTGGCGAACGTTTCACGGGACATCCCTACCACAGTGACTGTGAGGACCCGATTACTGTCCCCGGTATGATTATACTAGAACCCTCATAATGGAAATCGACATTAATTTTATGGGGCTGCTGATTCGAGTTTCTGGCTTTGTTCTGAGCTACCTGAAGGTTGCCCACGTCCGATCTAAACTAATTGTGTTCATAATTTCTACTATTTAATGGCAAAAAAGCTTCCGGAGGCAAAAATTGAAAAGGTTCTTTCCATGTTGTTATAACGTACCTGCAAAATGCGAATGAACTACGTTAGTCATCTCGCAATGAGGTGCTGATGGTGGATCCCGACCAATACGACGTCCATGGGGTTTATTATCAGTGCAATTTGCACAGACCCCTAATCCTGGTGCATCGTCGGAACAAACACGGAAACAACATTCTTCGCCCTCGTCTCCGTGGAGAGCTCTCACCGCCTGCCCACCCGTTTCCGGTATATTCGGATCTGTAATTACCAAAAAAATCTCATATAAAATATATCAAATCATTCGTTCTTTATTTTTACTCCTGAAATATTTGCAGTTAATTTCAGGTTTATATTATTTTTTGTGTAGGACTAGCATGATTGAACCCCTTCGACGAGAGGAATGATGACTCGATGACAAGTGAACATTGAAGGTTACCTCTTCACCCGGTACGTAATTGGACAATTGACAATTAATTGATTGTCGAAACATAAATTTTCGATCAATTCAGTTATTTGCTAAGTGTATATCTCGATGGCTTTTATCGAGTGATCTATCAATGAAGTTGTTGATATATACTAAAAATGAATTTACAAATGAATTTACAGCTGATCAGCGTCGCCTGACTGTCGTACGTAGGATCCCTGCGTACAGAAAGATTGAGGACAACGAGAGCAGATACTGTAGTAAAAACTGAAGATCTTTCAAAAGAATTTCTGGTCCGTTTAACTGACTTCAAGGCTCAATTTAAGCGAGGACCTAGTCCCAGTACTCTAGAAGCTATCCAGGAGTTGGTAGAGCGTGAATGAAATCCAATGAATCATCAGATATTACTGGCAAAATAATTCTCAGCCGTGGTACCTCAGAAGCAGGCTACTTAGAGAGCTTGTAGTCTGGGCTGACAGGACTCGAGCAAGACACTACCATCTTAATGAGTCGCTGTACAGAATAGGCGTGGTGGATAACCAGAAATGCAGCTGTGAATCGCAGATACAGGACATTCATCATGTCATTTATGACTGTCTAGAATAATCCGGTGATGACAGAAAGATTATGAACGAAAAACTATGAAAGTTTAGATGTCCTAGACTTTGCACCATAGTCACATTCCTAGTGGCAAAGGATCTTGAATCACTTAAGATCATTCAACAGTTCTTTGAAAAAAATTTCAAATAAGAATGTAAACTAGTTAAACAAATCTGTAGAAACTGTAGTACTGGTCGGATAATATATGGATGTAAATCACCCAACACCGGTTAAAATAATTAATAATAATTATAAAACAAAAAAAACCTTCCTATCCACGTAGAAGTCTAAGGTCACCTATTGGCTCTTGTGGGTTAACCTAAATTGCGCGACGCGCAAGTGTCGAGTTTCATAGTGTTGGCTACCTTTAGTTGTTACTCGTCGAAAATTTCTTTCTTTTTTTCTTTTCGTCTTCGTTATTATCTTACAGCGAGTTCAGCCGTTATAGTAAAAGCATGACGAACTTCTCTTCCAAACGCACAAGATCGAAACGTTCGTTGAACGGTCTAGGTGATCGTTGTTCAGTGTAAACTCTGACGGAAGTAGTCTTGTAAAGATAAGGGGGATTTGCAATTCAACTCTCGAGCAGAGTGAGAACTTGGACAATGTTTATCAAGACATCGTCAGCTGAGCGTATTCTCACCCCCCGGACTTCTTTCCTAATCTCTTTTATAAAAATTGAATGGGACTTTCGGTTCCGACTCACAGTTAGATAGGACCATTGATCAATTTGTTCAAACTGTTTCTTGAAGAAGAGCAGAGGCCGTCGAGGACTGCAGAGATTTTTTGTTATTAGAACTGGGTCATAATAAGAACGTGCAGTCTCAACTCCGTACTGTCTGCTTGTCTGCAGAATTTACATTTTCTGATAAATAGCTTCCACCTCTCAGCAATTCTCTGGGTGATTCGCAGGTGTGGCTATACCCTTACGTAATTACGGAATAGCAGCTGAAGAAGCATTCGATACAGATCCACTCCATACCGGTTTTTCGGTTCAGCGATGAACAAGGCAAACAGAGGCCTGTATTCGTTCTTCGGGAGCACGTAGCGTCATGATAAAAATGTTCAGACTAATCTCGCATTTCAAAGTTGTAGATGTTTTACAGATTGGATGGTTCGGACCGATTTGACTCCGGCATATTTTCACATCCTGATTTCGGAACCACACCGGTGCTTCCTCTATCTGTCCTACAACGAAGAATTATGCCAAGTGACGAGCTTGCCTTTCGGCGTTTCATCCGCGCCGTATATCCGACAATACGTTCATCACGATTACCGGTCCTGTTAGACCAGTCTCTCAGACAATAATTGCGGCCGAAATTGATAAATCTTCCGAAAGCATCCATTCGGCGGTAGCATCTAGGAGTTGGCCGGAATATGTTCTGGGTCAAGAACTGACGACGAATTTCAAATCCGCGTAGTTACCCGCGTGAGTTTCTTCTTTTTTGTCGCTCATCGCTTTTTTTGGGGAGCCAAAGCTTCATTTAGGCTTTGTCTTTGGCATGTGTATCGAGTTGGCGTGGAATGCCCTATGTGCTTTACATGGAGTGCCTTGAATTTTGGTGATGGCGACTTCTTGCTTATGAGTGGAAACAGATGTGGGTGTTTTGTGCAATAGGGATATTAGTATTGTCACTAATTCTAATCTGTTCCGTTCTCATTAAAAACCATGTTCTTTCTCTCTCGTGAACCTTTCTTCTGGAGTTAGCGCTCCCCTTTTGCTCTCCTTAAAAAGCATTCATCCATTCTACTAGTTTCCGATGCTAGACGTATTTTATCATTGTTCCGATATTGTAATCCTTTCTTTAATCAATGTGTTTTCAGTAATTCCACACGTATTTGAATATCAATCACGTCACTTTCTTCCATGACATTTCAGAACAATTAGAAAGGATGAGACTCCTCGAAAACAGCCGAAATGGACAAGAAGTCGTAATTTAATTCACGGGGTGTAACTATCTAGTGGGACTTGCCAGATTCCCTTTAAAGTCTGTAAAAATAATTTTGGCAGCTGCATTTTGTCCGTTATACGCTGTGGCGGTCGAAAGTCTGTGTTACCATAAACTATTGCTCTATTATTTGAATCTATCGTGATAGCGTGGTGTTAAATTTGATATCGTTCGAAAAATAATTTGACTCCCTACTTCGACTGAATAATCGGTCGCCGAAGACTCTATATCTTTTCTCTACTGTCGTATCCAGGTGAAGGATATAACAGGCTATCTACAGGTTTCTATTATGTAGATTGATTTCTACTTACCTCTGCATAGAAACGTGGGTTCACCAGCGTATTGCGTTGGATATGCAGGTGCACGGTCGCCTGGAAGTAGGTAAGGACAACGTTGTTCTACGGATTGACAGAATGACCGACAGGGCCTCAATCTCGTACCAACGTAAATTTCCACTGAGTTCAATGAGATCGACGGTCCCTCATGAGCAAAATAAGGCACCAGGGAGCTACACACCCATTTTCTATACGCTTCCTGAAAAAATTCATCAATACGAAAGAAATTGGTTAGAAAATCAATTCCGTTTACACAAGCACAGACAAAGAATGTAAAATATCGATTTTCCTGTTTTCAGATAACTTTTCAGAATATAGCGTCAACGATTTGTATTATATTAAACGGAAAAGAAATATTCATCCAGTGCATATTTATATGGAGCAATAGAAATTGTTTTTGTTTGGTAAATGGATGCAACATCAAACTCTGATAAAATTTATTGGGCACCTTGCCTAACCAACCGACATCGTAACGAGAGATCACGACGAAAAAAGAGTAGGATCCAACTAGTTGAGAGTGGAAGCCAGATTAACATGTACATTATAGGTGTAACGATTTTCAATCAGAAATCAGGCATGGACGACCTTCAGGTAGCCCGGAACAACGCCATAAATTCCAATTACGAATGCCATAAAGTTTATAACCATGTCAATTATACGCATCTTCGTTGATGATAGTCGGGATGGGGGGGGGGGGGGGGGGGGGCGTGGTTCTCAGTGAAACAGTAGTGGGGGTTGCTATAAGGGGAATAGAGTTGCCAGATGGCGATTTTTTCAAAAAATTCTTTTCGGTTTGTGGAAAATGGCGCAGATCAGGACTGAGCGCCCTCTGCTCTGAGAGTAAATCATGCTCCTGACCTTTATTAGTGTGTCACGAAGGGCAGAAGAGAGGTTATTGTATCAAGTAATCGGTATTTTACGACCCGGGTCGTAAAGGCCCTTCCCCTTGGCTGAAATCAACTGACGTGGGAGTGATGCTCCAAAGATGGAGGAAAGGAGAACTCAGCCAACGTGGGGAATTAAAAATTTTCCTTGCTATTAGGTTTATATTTGTTTTTCAAATTATTTTTCTAAATAAAAACTAAAAGATAGAAACTACAGCATATATTTATAACATGAAATTGTTTGAAATTGTTTGAAATTTTTGAATTTGAATTTTTGTGCTACTTTCGATTTTTTTTTAATACGGCATTTCAAACTATTGGAGGATGTTTCTAAGTGGTTTCTCAGTGGTTGAAAAAAAGAAGTGAGAATGAAACCTTTCCTCCTGCAAGGCTGGCCAAATTAGCTGACACACTCGGGTGAAAGTTGAATAGCCAGTGACAAATTGTAATTAATGGTAACTGTTTCAATGATTGATACCTTTCAAATTTTTTTCTTCTCTTTTTCGTCGACAAGCAGCTGAATCTTTATTTTTTTTTCTTAAAGACGTCACGTAGAAGAAATTTTCAAAATTACAATGAAATCCATATCACGGAGAAATATTTCTCTTGACGACTATCTGCCAAAATCATAGTGATCATTTTTATCGCACTTCATGGATTGATCCAAATAGATAGTAAAATTAAGAGAGGGAAAGAGTGCAGTCGAATTTTCTAGAAGTATTTGATTCCGTCTGATTTTAACGGAGCATTCTTAAGAATTAAAACGAATTCTCACATCGTCCTAGAGACAAATTTCTGTTAGGTGCCGATTAAAAAATTTTTCTTTGGGTAACAAAAAACCAAATGCAGAATCCAGAAAAAAATCAAATGCTTCCTCTCTTTCATAACTTGCGATGATATTTCAAAGGATGAGATGGAAATTTGATTGAATACTTGAAAGAGAATTCTGTCTCGTGCTCAAATTGCATTTCCCTTAAATCCCCAGTTGGGTATTTGTATTTCTCTGAAATACTTGAATACCCAATTCAGTCCTACGAAATGGTATAAGTTCCTGAAGTATCTAATATGTCTTCAATAAATTGGATAATTTGGGAAAATACTGGCATTCGTTCCTAAAATTGCATAAGATTACGAATCGAATTCGCACTTATTACAATTTCTAAGTACTGTAATGGAATGGAATAATGGAATAATGAAATTCCGACCCTTTCTGCCCTGTTCTGGCTAATCAGGCCTACCTCACCCTATGCATGCGGCTGTGGATCCAACACTGTAGCGTATTGACTTTCCTATAGAACATAGGAGGAACATGGGAAACCACAGGAAAAACCATGTCGGTATAGGCGGTTGCTCTATTAGCAGCCTCCCACTCATCGGTGCCTGTTGAGAAATTCGATTCAACGGGGAATCGAACTCACAACTTTCAGAACACTAGGCTCGCATCTAGCCACTGAGTTACCGACGCCGGTAACTAAATAATATTCACTTATAATACCACGAAAGCTGCGAAATTATCGGATATCTCCCGATAAGTTTGTTCCAAACAAATGAACGTGTCAAGTTTTCCAGCTTCAAAAATCACAAGCGTGAAGCGCGAGTAATTCAAAAAAAAAATAGATACTGACTGCTTGCTGCATTTTGTTATTTTTTTCGCAGGGAATCTTAAGGGAAATATTCCGTTAATTTCGGAGTTCGCGGGGTCTTCGGAGGATTATTGGTCCATCCAAAGTTAGCGCAATAGAATTGCACCATGAGAGAGGCAAAATTAAAAATCAAAACTTTTTAATTAACGCAATAGTATTCTGTCTGTCAAATTCAGATATATTCAGATGACTCAGAATATGTTCAATTTTAAGGATTTAATGTTGCTCAGAAAAGTATTTTTCATATCCTTCGGTGCATTTACGATCTGAATCCGGAATTTTCCCAGATTGACATCACGCGAAAAACGAGAAAGAGAGCGTAAATTACGAGGTCAAACTTCGTAATTTATGACATAAAAATGGTAATTTACGAGAGGAGAAATCCCGTAAATTCTGTTTTAATGCCGTCATTTGTGGACAGAATTTTCTTTGTGTACCCATCGTACTTCTATCAGCGATAGTTAGTGTCATGATAGTAAGGAGTATAATATCGATTATCGAAAATTATGTTTAAGATTGTTTAAATCATTCATCTGTTTCTGCCTTTAAATATGCGAGACCTGCTGCTCACTCCGTGCGCCGAATTTGAATTTGGCGGGTCGAGTTAACCAATGAGGAATTAGTCCTACGCATTTCGAGATATTTCGACTCCGGCGAACTTCATTTTTATGTTTCTACTTTCATAATAAGGACTAGTGCGCACTCCGTGCGCCGGATTGGAATTTGGCGGTTCGAGTTGACCAATGAGGAATTAGTCCTACGCGTTTCGAGATATTTCGACTCGGACGAACTTCATTTTTGTGTTTCCATTTTCATAATAAGGATTATTATACGTGTTGTCTTTGTGGCCGAAAACGCTACCGAAGTAAACGCTATCCGAAAGTGCGGTGTAGGTAAGGTAGATAATCCTCCAACTACATAAATCTAAAAAATTAAAACTCAACAGATTTCTATCAACAATTTTGACCCGACCTAAGGGCTGATTAACTGGTGTGATTATTACATAATTAACATCTTTTTGTAGCTATCTTTCAACTTTTTTCCAGCGAATTTAGTACAAGAAATCCTTCTTAGCAATATTCGATTGAATATTAAGGGAGGTGGAACAAAATTATCGCTTGTCAGTAACGCCTCAATGAAATGTTAAACATGTTTTTTACATGCCATTGTCAAAGAAAATCCTTGGAATTCATCCTATCCGTGTGACCACTTCTGACCTTCAAATTGATTTCTTCTACTTGGATATTTATCTCGATTCCTTTAGGCTAATATCTTTTATCGACATCGATTGAAATGTGTGTACCAATTTAGACGAAGCTCTCGAGATACAGTGAAAAGTCTAACTGCATAATGTCTCACCGGGTGAGGGGAATCATTCCCCCACCCTAGCATTACCTCTTCTGGCCATCTTTGTCTAATGTCTGCCGTTCTCTCTCTTATGCGCAACAAATTTGCGCAGTAATATTTACCAGCTGACAAACCCCCACTAGCGCTCCTGCGCACATTTCTTTCGCCTATCAGCTTTTCGCTCTCGCTTTCTCGGAGTCGAAGAGAGGGCACTCGTTAACCTCACTTGCAAAAGTTCAGACGCTGAAACCTCAGCAATGACTGATTTTTCACTGCATCCCGAGATTCACATCACTGCTCTCCTTTTCTTTTTAAATCACTTATGCGTACAATAACATGACGAGCAGTTGTGATAAAAACCGGACCTTCCATAATAACTCATACTTTTTTCAGTTTCAGTCCAGCAATACATTTGAGTCCCCTGAATGCAGAAAATATATTAAGACATTTCGTAATTCAATAATTTTTAAACCATTAATGTTTCAAATCAGCAAATTGGGCCCGTGTATTTTGCCGCGCTCGACTGTGAAGAAAGACGCGGTGAACGTGAAAACAGCGTCAAATTATGAATAGAGTCTAGTGACGTCAAGTTAGGTAAGGTACTGACAATGTCACTGGATAAATAATACTTTTGGCGCTACACAAGGTGTATTGATGTACATATCAATTCAAGTATTGATTCAAATATCGACTTAAGTATTAATATTAAGATAAACAAGTCTTTTTTCGTGATATCCATCGTAGATATTTAATTTCTTCTCTATAACCGTATATTTTTTGTGATCAACCAACGCGAATGCTCTGATTAAAGCCGCGCCTTTGAATGAAATGCGAACACCGATTGATACAAAGAGTGACGCAGTCGGACAAACCATCATTCATTAAAAGTTAACGAATCGAGCTTGGATCCACGCATTCTTTATCGATGTCGGTTGGTGTTAATATTTTGCGTATCAACTATATCATTCGGTAACTATTCATTTGGCCATATTCAACAATGCCATTCGTTACTAGTTAGCAGACCAACAAACCGGAATTCTGAAAACGCTAAATATCTCAGAAACTATCCAACCGATTTTTAAAAAAACTGACATCACTCCTGAATATTCACGAAATGTTATAAGTCCTGGTAGAAGATGGGGAAACGATTGATTCCATTTATTTTTTTCATTCAGCTAATATTCGTAAATTGCCACTACAATTGTATTTTTCTTTTCATCTCGCATTGATTCGACACGTATTTTGTTAAAGGTCCGAAATTCGAGGAGTGATTTTTTACTCATTGAGGAAATCGTTTTTTCAGTGAATTAACATGTAAAAAATGATAATGTAATATTGACATGTAAATTATTCTTTAATGGCTGGATGAGCTTTGCTATTTACAAATACCCCGGGATAAAATAACACATTTTTCTCTTCTCGTAGGCCCTTTCGGGCTTTTACGATTTGTTCCCTTCCTACTTCTCAACCTCCTATAACGCATTTACCGAAAGGGAGGGGGAAACCTCATTCGAGTAGAAAAGCCAGCCCTGGTACGGCTGTCTTTTTGACGGCACTACCGTTCCGCAGTGAAACTGTAAGATTAGAGCGCTATAAATGATGACCGCCGAAGCCCGGGATCGAACCCGGAAAATGTTTTCGAATGAATATGAGATATATACCCATAGTGGGAAGAGAAGAACTCGACTGGCTCATTTACATGAAAGCTGATAAAAAAATCTGTAAAACGTGACACACGAAATTCGACACATAAAGACGTTTAACTTTCCTTCAACATTATATAATGAAAAATTCGAATCATCATTTTGAAGATCTCATCGAGAACCTTAAATTGATCTATAATATGTCTCCATTGGTCGAGTCCAGTGCAACGATAAAGGATCAAACATGTGAACTTCAGGAGGTGGCATCACGTTAAAAATTGAAACAATCTTGAATAATTTGAGAAAAGCAAGCCTGTTGTATTTATCATACACCACTTTGAAAAGCATGAAATAAACTTCAAAATGATATATAAACATGCTCATTTATCTCGATTAGGAGCATTGAAAAGTTCAACCAAATTTTAATTTTGAAATTTCATTTCATTCCTTCCAAAAAACTCAAACAAAAATTATGACGAATGGATAAATCAGGTACCATTTTTCCGCTAATTGAATAGAATTCTTTCAAACGAGTATAAAATATTGTTACGTATTCCCCTTCGAATTATAATCCCCGTTACGAATGATCTGATGGAAGCCCTTGGTTATGATTGTCTTCTGTCCTGGATCGTCTATTTTTCTAAAAAAGTGATCCTCAAGATACTTCTTCTTGTCTTTGAAGAATTAATAAACCACTCCATTGATTTATTAACAACTGTATTGTGTCCTTCTTCAACAATCTCTACAATATATACGCCTCATGGATCAGGGAAGAGGAAAATATCTTGGATCATTTAGTTGTGGATGTCATAATTTTCCAGGGTGTAGTCACTCAACCATAATTACGATTAAAAATACAAACGAAAGGATGAAATGCACCGTCATCGCACTAGTCGAAGTTCAATGAAGTCATTTCTATTTCTTTATTAATTGTCTTTATGTATCTTTATATATTATCATAGTAATTAATGGTATAAGAGTTGAAACGTATTTGGGGAACATATATCATTAAAATGATACTCTTGATCAAATATGTTGCTAAATAGTATATTTCATATTCCATACGATGGCGGGAAAGTTTTTAGGCTCGTGAAAGGTTTATAGCACGAGCCAAAGGCGCATGATATAATCACACGAATCAATGAAACACTTCCCGGCCATCGTATCGAAATATATTGTATGCACAGTGTATTGCAAAATATATGGAAATTTAAAAACTACTTAATCTTCGAGGTAATGGTGGAATTGCTGAGGAAGTGGCATATCGGTCAATATCATGTGGTGAATTTCATATGTAACAAATTCACAATTGATCAAGTTTTTCATCTTTAATACTCAATTAGTGTTTTTCAATTCAACAGCATCATTCGAGCAGTTCGTTGAATGATTTCAGAATTATTTTAAAAGCTTATTGAATAAAATGCAAATTTATTTACTATGAATAAAGTTATCAGTAACAGAAACCCGATGAAGCCGGAAATTGAAGTCGAGAATTCGAAATCGAAGAATTATCGCAAATATAAGTATTCGTGTCATGTAATGATTCAGAATTAGTTACAGCATCAAAGAAGGGAAAATTCTTTTTTCTCGGTGCTTTCATGAATCGAATATTTAAGGTGGAATAGCAGTTCTTATAAAATAGCCCATTGTGGAAATAACTTGGATTAAAAAACGTTTATAACGAATTTTCAAAGCTCATTGTGAGATGATTGAAATAATTGTTCATCAATGCTTCATCATAAAAGATGGAAATATTAAAAAATGCTTTGAACTCTGATTTTATTTATTGCAATTTTCGAAAAAATTCTTTTTGATCTTGAAATGAATGAGAAATTGATTATCTTCTCGTTTTGGAATTATGTATTAACAAGTGGGATATTTTTATAGTGGATTGTATAGATGTACGTCTACAAAATGAGAAAGAAAATCATTCAATATGAGAACATATTTGTGCAATTGGAACGAAAAGTTGTACTGATTCTTACCTTGCAATGGGTGCAGTTATGGATGACAGAATATGACTGGCGGCAATCATATCGCGCCAATACCTCTTCAAACTCACAATGTAATCTAGCAGCAAGTGCATCAACACTTAATATCTTGTCGAGGGCACTAACACATCTTGGGCTACCATTTAAAACGTCCTCCAGAGGTCCGCCATCACCTGGTGCTAAGGCATTTATCACCGCATTCTCACAGCAATGACGTAAACGGAGGCCACTCAGAAACCAATATCGATTTTCCCGTGAGGTTGAAAAACTCAACGAACTGGACCGTGCGAAATCTTCTCGACAAATGTCCCGTTTGTGCGACTCCTCAAGGTAAAAAAGGCACTGATCCGGAGCCATAGTATCTGTATCTGTTCTATCAAATGTTTTCCATTGTATTTTAGCAGCTGAACCGGTACGCCACTTTTTTGGTACAACGAGACGTTCAACAACCTCACGAAATATCCGATCAGAATTAATACTTGATGAGCACGGTATTGGGCAATACTTAGGTACTTCGGGAGGTCCACAACTGCCCTGAAGATCGGCCGGTGCTGGGCCTGCCAAATCACAGGCCGAAAGCCAAGGATTTATCTGGTTCACCTCCCAGGTATATTCGTTGTACGGATGAATCGGTTTTCTGCCTTGCGGATGTTCTTTGTTTGACTGTACATCAATATGACTGCCAGCGCTACGGAACCCCGCAGCTGGAGATAAATGATGTACAGTATTATTATCAGTGTGTACAAGTAATGATTTTTGGACGAACGATACTGATGTAATAATACCCGTTGACGGAAACGTCGAGCATAGTAACGGTAGGGCCAAAAAGTATAGAAGAAGAAGTAATCCATAACTCCCTCCACTAACTTTGCGGCGTGGACATTCATCAACTTCGCGTTTTTCATATTTGCGAAAGTGTAATGTTTTCCTAATTGTCTCTCCGATCGAGGCAGTGTTAACGTGTTCAGCCAACGACAGATTGTTAGGTTCCTTTTTGGTGGTAGTGGTATTCTGAAGCCGATTCGTTTTGTGTCCTGAATAATAGGTTTCTCTCCAGTCCTCTGATACCTTCCATTCGCTAAATATGTGAGGAGTCGTAAACAACGGACATTGTTCAAGGCTATTCGTTTCAGTGATTGTATAATCCAGTAAATTGATACAGAATCTTTTCTCATTTTTGAGGAAAACCGATCTGACTGGTAAAATGTATCTGGTTTTATAATAATGGAAATAATTAAAGGCAGTGTTTCCAAGCACATCGATAGGAATAGAAAACTTAGTGCTCTTCCTGACCAATGAAATTTCCAAGAATAACTCTGCATCGTATGTCTCATTTTGCACGACCTGTTCATGATTTTGTTGAACAAGTGTATGATGTGGGGAACGCATCCAATCGGGAAGGCAACACGTAATATATATCGTATATGTATTGTACCGAAATGGATAATCGTATTTGGAATGAGTAGCATTGAAGAGAATTCTGTATCCTCTACATATATCGTTTCTACGTACGTCGTTAATGAAATAATATATTGACGAAGAGCAAATATAGTAAGTGGTTGTTGTCGCTGATTTATAAATTTGTAATTGCGACGAAACATTCCACACGCTTCTTGCCTCCGTCGTAGATGGTGATCCCGTGATACGGGCAGGATGCTCGAGTTGCATGAGCACGTGGCAGGGGACACTGACGTCCCCACGACGACGTTGTCGGCGCTCCTTCCAGGAGGCGAGCGTCGACCTCCCACTTCTACTGTATGTTCTTGTCGAACAATGCCAATCCTTTTTCCTGCAAAACCAATAATATCCTTCTTCCCGAGCACTTTGCTGGCCAGAATTTGGTCTGCGCTTTCGCTTATGCCTTCTCCTATCTTTTCCTTTTGTATACACCACCACGCTGGCTCTGATCTGGCTCGCCGGCGATAGGGACGACGGCGTGGGTTGATGGTCCTGTTTGATCCGGGCCGCATCGCTGAAACAGCCACAATGGCCTGGACACGCCGCCGCTGCCGCAGCTGACGCCTCGGATTGCCACAGCACCTGGTAAAGAAACCAGTTGCCGCCTGATGTATTCAATGATGACGCCGAATAGCGGTTGATGGCCGAAAACCGCTCGCGCCAGCAAAAGCGATAATCCAATACCGATGTCGGCCACGCGGCAACAAACGCACCCGCTGTTGCTCTGTAGTCGGTAAGAAATTTTCCACCACGAATACGTCGTCGTTGCAGTCGAAACTCTGTTTGTCGATAATATCGTCCGATCGGAACTTGGCACAACGATATGCAAATAATGCACGAAATTTGTAAGCGTCCAGTAAACAAAAATATATTTTCGATTTTGTTTTCCTTCTCGCACGTCTGTGACAACCGTACCCCAACAGCTGTGTCTTGTGTGACGTATTTTCCACTTTACACGTTTCACTTTTTTCTGTTCCTGCAATGAAAAATTTTGATACTTTGTCTTCTTCGTCGTCTTCGGCCTCACGCTGATGGTGCGACGACACACGCGGTTCATGCTGCATGCTGACTACACCCGCCACGCTGACGTCGCCACGCCACCAGCCGTCTCCTCTTTTCTTGTATAATTATAGCGTCTCAAGAGTCGTCCCAACAAACTTATATACGCCTGCTAAACCTTACCAAATTATTAAGACTTTGATAAATGTATATCAAATGTTCTTAAGTCAAAATGGCCGTACGCGAAAATTGGTTAGGTATGATGACACTACCCGTAGTGCCAGGAATACACACACTGATCGCGCACTAACAGCACGCGTATAAAGATCCATGGACACACCCCGCGCTTGGCAGATGTATAAAGCAATCCTTCGATCATGAAACCTTTCGTCGATGTTTTTCATTTGTTTTTTATTTTTCCGCTCGATAATTTAGTGAGCCTCACGGCCTTTACCACCACTGTATTTCATTCATGTTTCCTCTTCCCGCTTATAACTACCTTTTCGCTTTTGCTGTGCACAAACTCCTTCACTTTTTACTCCCCTTCCTACCCACAGTTGAGCGCCTTCTCGTGGCTCACGCGCGTATAACTTCGATCTCACCCTCTTTCTAACCCTCATAGAACTCGTTTTCGTCCACAATAATATCAGTGGTTTTATTCCACTCTTCCATTTCCATGGTTATTTTTCAGGTTTTTCGCTACTTTGTCAATTTTTTGCTCTCTTCCAGTCCATGGCCAGATAATTTTTAGTATTTCCACTTTGTATTGAAGCAAAAAATCATGAAGAAATTGAGAAATCTTCTCTTTTCATATCTACAGTAGAAGACTAGCATACAATCATGTACATGTACACTCATCAGAAAGTGCGCGCGCGTTGTGTTGCGCAGTATTATCCAGCAAAAGAAAAACCGAAGGGGGAGAAATATAGAAGAGAATAATGAGATTGAAATAGGAGAGTAAAGGAATAAGGGAGGCGGATATTTTATTCACTTCCTGAACGGTATCGTGAGATTTTCAATAAATAAGCACTCATACTAATATGTAACAATTGTAAATGGGCGACAAATCAACCCTCTACAGTCACTGATGCGACAAATGTTTTACTAAGCCCTCTTGATAACCACCATTGTAGTTCACGATTACTTCTATTGCAGTGATTTTGATACCACTGATGCATCCCCTGCGGCCATTGCCGACGTTTCAGCTACTACTGCTGCCACCATTACACACACTATTATAACGCGCATGCACTCACATAGATAGATATTGTTATCGTTGAAAACTGGACCTTGATTTAGGCGCTGTCGCACTTTCTTACATTGACATTATGTCTTTGTCATCTAGGAGGAAGAAATGCCGTCCACTAAATAACCAGTCAATTCTTCAATTAAATTAACGACAAAAAAGTCACTTGTCCTCTGCCCATGATCCTTGTCGTACTATTCAGATGGATCATTTCATTTCCTCTCCAACTCTAAAGAAAAATGGGTTTCTTCAAATAATATTAATTTGAAGAAGCTGCCGTTCGGTTTCTCAGTTCTGAGAAAAAATGATATCATTATTTGATGATTACACCATCACACGAATAACTGACGAGATTCAATGACCATCATTGCCACAAATCAATTATAAATTCCTATGCGAATATTTTGTCGATAGTGTAAATGTAGAACGACTACTATCCACTTCAACTCCACGACTGAAAACCTCGCCTACCTTTCCTAAATGGCTCTGTGCAATCGCCGATAGAGGGCAAGCGATTTTCCTTCTCTTTCACCGTATCCATTCTGACATTCAGTTCTTCCACCCCATGAGTTGCACATATATACTCATCGATAGTGTACCTAAATTGTCAAATTTTATTCCTTGATTTATAAATGCCTTCAATCAGCTTGTCTTCAAATATAAGACTTTTAATATTGCATAAGTTTATTCATCTCAGAGATTGCATTTCATTTATTATTGACTGATAATCTCTGTTCGATGCATGGAAAATAAACCGCAACATATTTCATAGCTTGAAAATAGAAAGAGGGGAAAAAGGATAAAGTGCGCCGGCGTCTAGCTACGTATTTCCACTGAAAGTGGATATATGGATCAAGATATATATTGCAGTCATGTCGAGTTTTTAACCTTAATGCATGGTACTGAAGTTTATTTATGCTTCTTTATTTCACTTCTTTCATTACTGGATATTTTATTTTTCAAACCGACAGCAGTCAAATCTGCCCTGAATACGTAAAAGTAGGTGACATATAAATATAAATATTAATATTAATATAAAAATAAAAGAAAAACAGATTTAGTCGAGATGATTTCTTATAAGGAAATTAGGAATATTTAGCTGTGAGGAGTTTTTCCCTTGAACATTTAGACTTCTCATTCCCAATTTTCAGGTCCATATAACATTGGAAAACCGTGAAAATTTGGAAAATTCAAGCAATAATTGCCCTCAATTTTCACGCTATATTGAGAATTAAACTGTATTCAATGATGAATTTACACAAGAGCATGAAAATGAAATCTTTTATTCTAAAATAAATCACGACTTAAGATAAAAATTCCAACATTTTTGAATTTTGAAGCGGAATGAGAAATTTAGTGAGTGTTTCTAATTGAAAATTGAATACACACGGAAAGCTTTGCTCCCCACGTGTAATTGGCCGGTTGCTGTCCTCTCAAATATAAATAAAATAACGAATGGCATATAAAATACTCGAAGCATGATATACTATTGTTGCTAGCTGACTCAGACTTGCTGATAACTTCCAGGGTTAGCTTCGTCTTTATGTCAGACACAGAGATACCTTCATTCTTTTTGCATTCGGTCACTCGAGTCATCCAACGACACCATTTCAGCTACTCGCCCTCTTTGTTTGAAGCTCCTTCTTCCCTTCCATATTACGGCTTATATCTCGAACCGTCCGACCATCCAATATGCCATTCCCCTTCCGCGCCATTTCCTCCGGCGAATCTCGTTCTTTGTCACACCAAGCATCTTCATGGAAAGAAAAGTCAAACAAAAATTAGTCAAAAAAAAAACACGTAAAAAATTCTTGAACATAATGATTCGTGTGATCCCTGTCAGATTCTATGGTTTTCAGAAAAAATTACGTAACTTTTCAATACTTTTTTGGTGACAAACACTTTCTAGGGCAATTTATTTATTTATTAATTTATTATTTTTAGGGCAAATCACCTAAACTCATTGTTGATTGGGAATTATGTTGATTATGGGATTATCCCGTACTTTTCCTTGAATATTTCTGTGCGAGTTCTTATAGACTGTAGTGAGAACAAAAGTGTCGATTGATCGCATATGTTCCTGATTGAAATTTCACTGAGAAAAAAAATTACTTTTGCCAAGAATATTTTCTTCCCACCAGTAAATCTGACGATCACTGTGTAAATACTCCCATGAGATTAACTAATGTCAAATATATTTTCGTGTTGCAATTAACTTGGTTTCATTAGCAATCAACCTGATAAATAAATGAATAAGTCCTTTCATAAAATTGCCGATGCATGACACTAGTCAATATATTTTTCCAAGATTCCATCCATAATCGATTATACACTTCAATTTATTCTGGGTAAAATAATAATTTTGGAATGAGAAAAGGGTAAGAAAATAATACGAAAACTATATTCAAGTTTACATTCGGGACGGGACGCTATCAGCTCGAGTTATTTCGCACTTTTTACAAGGAAAAAAAAGATTAAATAACAATCAATCGCAAAAATAGTTGATCAACGCTTTTTTTTCTCAATGTGTCTTATATTTCGTCTTTTTTAGAGTTTAATCATTCAATCTCCGTTACATGATTTATATTGTGAATGAAAAATCAATTAGTTATAACATAATTTTAAGAATATTAAAAAAAAATTTTTTTTTGCTCCATACGTTGCCTACAACGGAATCTAATTAATACTAATAATATTAATAGGAGAAATTCAATAGGTTATTTTTGAAATTTAGATTAGCCTCTAGAATTTGAATGTTGCAGCTGTAACACCTCTTTATTTAATCCATTCTTTACGCAAGCGTGGGTACGTAGCAGTCACAATATACTATCGACAATACCGCCACAAAATTTTTCATATATCTATATGTCATTCTGAGATTGTGTTTGCATCGAAGGAGTCGCTGCATTCTTGCACATGCAGAATAAAATGTGGGTGACGGTATCAGGAAGGAAAGAAGGGTGCGCATGACCAGCGGCCACAGGGGAAATCCACTGCAATCGATAATTTGTAACCAGCTGCAGTGAGAAATTCTGTCATGGAGCCTATCTGTTAGTCATCAATCATCTTATTTATTTTCCGCTCTTGACTATCATAATAAATCTCGATAAACACCCATTTTAAACAAAGTCTAAATTCAAAATGTTTAAATTTCCTACTAAATATTTTAATTGTTTAGTTAATTTTAAAAATATTAATTAATTAACATATATTAAATTTTAATAATTTAATATATTTTTATTTCCGGGTTTTCACTTATATAAGAATATTATGTTTTTTAAATTTCATTTTTCAAATTCGAAATTTATGAATCTCCAATTTTCAATTTCAGGGGTTCATCGCATTCCATTCATAATTAGATCTATGAAATGGCATATATACACTCCCAATGTCATTTAGGATTTTAAATTCGAGCACTTTCAATTTATGATGAATCATGACTTCAATTCTTTCAATTCAATATTTCAATTGCTTGAATTTGAAGAATTCAAGAAATTAGAATTTATAAAAGATTACATGTTTCGTTACAAATTGAAATTGTCGGGCGCTGCTAGAACAATGTCATTGACGATTTAGCGGTGACCTGTGAGGGCATTATAACACCTCGGTAATTATGTCAATGATACCACTATGTTCAGTGTTCTATTCATTTTTTAATATCATAGCAATAACTTATCGATGATGTACTCGATATGTATGGGCCAGAGGTGGGCGACCTCAACTATCGGAGCTACTTCAGCTCCCAACTACCATTAAGCTACACGGAGAGAAATATTTAGTAAAAATTACGGAACTTTCTGTTCACTTACCGATTACGGAGTTGATTCGAAAAATTTAAGTGACGGTATCGTTATTTTTCACCCATAATTCAGATAAAAATTACGGAACACCGCGGAAAAATTCCGTGACTTTAGATAAAAATTACGTGACAGTTCCGTAAAATTTCCGACAACCACATTTCGCTCCAGAATTACGGAAAATACACGTAATTTTTATTGAATATTTCTCTCAGTGTAGATCAGGGGTGGGCAAGCTTAAGTAGTCTCGGAGCTGCAGCCATAAAATTAGAAGAATTGGAAAATGCGGGTGGTGGGGACAACCTTGAGAGATGGCGCATGCGCGGGATTTGAATGCGAAAAAAAAATGGTATAAATATTTAATTTTCCATGATTTCCTGAAAAATATTTAATCAAAATCAACTTCTATTATTTTTACTGTAACGTGTTTCGCCCTCCGCGGAAGAAGGAACGAAAATATGCAGCCCTCGGCGATCAAACTCAAAACGACCCAAAGTTTGGCGCCAAAATTACAAATAACGATTGCAAATAGGGGGACTATCAACCGCAGAAGCAGCTGGGTTCCCAAAACTGTCTTAAAATAATTCTGAAGTACCTTTATCTCATTCTAAATAAATTCTAAAATTGCCAGGTAACAAAGTTATTTAATACAATTTCACATTATCCAAAATGAACCCATATGATTTAAAATCCTCGACTTACTCTCTCAACAAAAGATCATGCTTGTTCTTGTCAACGAAAAGAAAAATAAATTAATTCAACGAAATCATAGACAAATATTTTTCACTATCAAATTCCCTAACCACATGTTAAATGATAAAATATTAGTCTGAAGGGTCTGAAGAAATGAGTAAAAATAAGTCAAAAATATTGAAGTAAAATTTATAATCATTCGGTGAAACAGCTAGTATATTACTAGGCCAAAACTTAAGTGGAGAAAGAATCTACAGTTACGGCGTGAAACGAGTGTGCCTATTAAATAAAAAGAGAGCAACTTGAGAGAACATGAACAAGCGCCGATAGTAGCCGAAAGCGTTACCGGCAAAATATAAATCTCGAGTGTCGACAGACGCTACAAACGTACCTTCAATGCTGTCATTTTAGGAATAATATTTGATAAATTATTTAGAAAAATATAAGTGGTTTCACAGACCACGAAAATAACAGATTGGAAAATCACCACGAGTTAACAGAATCCTAAATTCATCAGAATTCCAATAAATCTACCGAAGAGGTCTGGACAAATCAAGAACGATGAACACTCGAAAAGGGCGTCATACGCCATGGAGAATAAGCTCAATAAATTAACGAAAAGTATCAAACTTCAAATTTGCCTCTACGAAATTACAATTCACTTCTAAACGAATTTATCCTCCGCTGACGGATGTTCCAGTCCAAAAATTCCCGGGAAAGCGATCAATAAAGTCACTCCAAATTTTCTATGTTCAACAGGTGACGAAACTGACCAGCGCCGTGATTGGTACGTCACCTTCGCGAGACTATCTGATTGTCCAATATTAATATCACCAATAATAACAAAGGAATCTGCCAATAAAAATCGACATCAATCTGTTATATTTACAAAAGTCTCACGGAATAACAAATTATGTAGTATAGCGTTAAAAGTTAATACAGATCCTCCGTGTAGTCCCAATCGGGAGTTCCTCAATTGCCGGGTCGGATGCTGGCGCGATCTCTCGGTTCTTCCGTGCAACTCCTTGGGTGCGGCGGAAATTCCAGAAATTATCCTCCGATATCTCGTGCTCCTCCATCCAGGATAAAATTCCGCGAGGACTCTCAAAAGTCCCATGATGAGTCCCAGAACGGGTGGTGAACAATTCGCTCGATATAATCAAACAAAATAAATAATAAATAAAATCAATTATAAGATATAAAACATACTCGACTCTTGCCTCGTCAATGATTGACTTCTCGTCTGGACGTCTCACAACCGACGAACGGTCAAAAATGAAAATACCACGTTACAACATATGGCTTCAAAAATTTCATGAAAAACTCATCGTTCGAATTTCTACAAATCGGATTTCTACGAATGGACCGGTACTCTGAAGACTTTATTCGATCATGGTCAACGGATGGGCAAATCAATTAAAACGGATTTGGCCTGTTGAAATTGAAGTATTGGCGTTCCAACCATCGCGTAGATGTATTCGTAGAAATCCTGGGACGAATCAATTTTCTTCGTCAGTCTTTCTGTAAACAACTGAACAAGTTTTTTACAACTAGGCCCTATATTATTCTCTGATGTCCGAAATCTGAAATTTTCTCTGAAGCATCAGTCTAGTTCGATAAAACCAAAGATGTTGCTAATATTTCAAATTGTATCTTGAAAGAATACGGAATGATATGTAAAAATGTTGAAAGAACAAGTTGTAAATTACGGGTTTCTTCATTTATTTTACTTTTCATAATCATGATCATCATTTACATTATTCTAGAAGGTGAAATATCTGAATTATACATTTTAGTTCCAGTTATTTCTTTCGTGGAGTACGGCCATTTTCCGTCCTGTTTTTTTGTAACCTATTTTTCGTTGCACGCCGCACCAGCGGAAATTCAAAATTCAAATTGGAATTCAAATTCTATCCAACGATTCCTTTGACGTCACAAAGATATGGAACGCTATACAAATTCTCCCTCTACTAGGTAGAGAAAAAAATGATTGCCGTACGAAGGACGGCGGTGCTCGATGTATACAAGAAAAGTGAAATGAAGAAATGGTTAGGAGCCGGATAGCTCAGTTCGGAGAGCACCCGAGTAAGGTCCCAACTTTTCCACACGTACAACGCAATGTGAAAAACAGATATCTTGCATTCATTCATTCATTCATACATAACCCCGATAAACATTACCCAAAACCCACTAAAGGCAGGACATTATGAATAGCGAGATGTTTCTCATATAAACCATCTATTCTGATAAATCTAAACTACTTTAGGGTAATTTTGTAAAATGTAAAAACTCAAACGATCAAATAAATAAACCGTAAAAAAAGGCGAGCACCCGATGTATAATCGGAATGTCCTGGGTTCAAATCCCGGTCTGGAGTATCCATTTTTTCAGTAATTTTTCTTGTAAATATCACATGGAGAATTATCATGTTCCCCTTTCTACTTAATCCAAATCCTAGCCAACGACTCCTTTGCCACCACAAAGATGTAGAACGCTATACAAATTTCCCGTCTACTATGTTGGGAAAATACTGTTTATGTTCGGTTTATGCTGCGCTCAAGGTCGTCACGATTTACCTAAGTGCCCGTATATTCTTTTTTGTCTTTCTTGGAAGATTTCGTCTTCCCATTTCGTGGGAATCGTCGTTAGATACTTTTAGGGTCCAGGACTAATTCTGGGAGCCCTCGCGCTGGAGTAGACTTATCAGACAATCATGTTTATTATTGTACATATAAAATTACAGGGTTTTGTTAATTACCTTCGATGTTGAACCTAAAAGCACTGTTAACATGTTGGAAAAATGTTGAAATTCTGAAACTAAATCGGTGCTTTAGGGTTCATCTTTCCAAATTGAACACCTTTTAACAGGATTCATGGGACTACCAACTGCACAACTGAAAGCTGTAGCGAACCCTGGAGAATTGGAAACCCCAATATTTACCCGCAGTTTGGGTAAACTGTATGGATGTTTATGATTCACTGTATAATTTGGGGTTGTAATTTCGCAATGTAACTGCAAAATAATAAAGAAACCGGAAGTTTATTCCACAATCGTTTCTAATGGTGGGAAATATTAATTTGTCAACCTCACCTGAGCGAAATTTATGAAAAACATCTGCTCATCCGTAAATTCCTCAAATCCTGGGATCGTCAATGCTACATTGATTTCTCCATTCTGTTTCAGACGTTTATAAACAGACAATACCAATGACATCCCAAAAGCATCGGCGACATTTTCAATCCGCTTGAGAGAAATCGTCTCTGAATCGTAAAACTTTCTGAATAAGTCAGAAATACATTCAAGTTGTCTCCTGTACTTCTCACGTGTGAGAATGTCTGACAAATGGAATGATTGCAATGTCATTTCTCCTATTCCTACCAAAAACCATGCAGATATAGATTACAATCTATTCTAAATTTCATGGAATTTCATTGCCTACCTTCCGGGTCAAGGGCATGACCTATTTCATGCGCTACAATCATTCCTAAACCTCCGTAATTAATGTATCTGTGGATAAAAAATAAAAATATGAATTTATTATTTATGACTGTTAAAATTTGTTTTTCATATTTACCAGATCATAATTTTTCGACTACTCACTCAGGAACGGCCAAACTAAAAGAAGGCAGCTGGGTAATACCGCTCAGAATATCTGACATGAAATGAAGTTTAAGCAATAAAAATTGTTGATACCATTATTATTTAGATGGATGATAACATATAAGTGTCATTACATACATATTCCGTTTTCATCATGGTCATAATAAGCATTTACTGCCGTCGAATTGATTATCCACCTGAAAGTAATCAAAAAGGTTGGATTATCGATATTGATTAATGATTAATCATTTTAAAATTAATCATTAACCCAAATTAAGTTTCATTAATTATCATTACCCGATCGAAAGTCGGTGTTTGATATCCACGAGCCGATGCTGCTCCGAAAATCTCTCGTAATTGATCCTATTAATCACGTAATCATCATCAAACACCAACTGAAAACTCAAGGGAATTATTCATATTACTATCCTCAAAGATTTTTAAGACTTTACACTATTTCGCCTACTTCTTCGGTATAGAAATCTTCAAATAGTGAGCGATTGTTAGCCCAATCTGATGGTGGTTCAATCCGAAATATTATGTCATCGAGTCTGTTTTGCATATCGAGCTTAAAGGAACTGCTCATATAATCAGATCTGTTAATTTGAAGTTGCAGCTCTTTCTGGATATTCGTAACGAGTCTGTCAACCTGAGAAGATAAAAAGAACGATTGAACATTTATTTGTATTGTAAATCAATATATGATGACTTACATTTTCGAAATGGCGATTGTAGTCCGCGACGTATTCGTTTATGAACCAATATGTCTTCATGTCATCGATTATTGTTGCCGTCATACAGAACTTCGACCTTGAAAATGTCGAGTCAGACATTTCATTCAGAATCAGAAAATTGTATCTGTAACTTACCGATCTGCTCCGACGTTCTCAGGATCTTTCATCATTTCGACAACATACTCCTCCAAGGTATCATGCAAAAATGTCCAGTAGATGAAATTCACTACAATAAATAAAGGTTTAACCTATAATAAATAATAACAAGGAAAAAATAAACATTTGTTACCGATCGTGCGCTCATCAGTTGACCTCAATAATTCAAGGAAATCGAGATGGTAAGAGTAATCAACTGTCACTTGGGCGGCATCATTTATCTCAATGTTATAAACATCAAAATTTCTCTGAATGACTTCCCTCCAGTTTATCTAGAGACGGAAAAAAAATCGGAGAGATAATTGTGATAATATAACAAATTATAACCAATTATAAATAATAATAATGGCAACAATTATTTTTAAATATACTAATCAGTGGTGATAGTTGACTTAAAAGATGTATCAAGAAAAATATCGATTATTAATCTAGTTTTTAAAAATACCACAGTCTTTGGATCAGGTTTTGATTGAATTGATTTTTCCCAAATGTCTATCCATGTTGTCAGATCCATCACACGTGGGGGAATGTCCCGGTTGCGCTTCATTATCTAAAAATGAAATGATTAGTTAAATATTCAAAGACCTCTGGCGGAGTTCATCTTTATTACATCCGAGAAGTTCCTGACGAAGTCATAGAAATCCCTGATGTCCTTTTGCAATTGTTCATGAGAAACATGAGCTTTAGTATACGAAGTAAATATGTCATGTAGTGTCTCAATTTTCTTTTGAAGCTCAGAGTAGTCTCCGATGTACGGTGGTACGTAATCCATATCTGGCCATTCTAGCTACAAATTCCTTCATTAGGTCAACGACTCGTTAATGAGTCCCAAAATGTTCAACTTACGTGGACCATCTGAGATGCTGGATCTTCAGGACTCAGAGTGACAGAGGTAACGTCGAAAAACGTGTGGACAGCAGACAAATTGGCGAAATATGCGTCGATCTCCTGCCATGATCGGGAATTTATCTTCCAGTCATCAATACTTATGATCATTGGCCAGCCTCCAATGGCATCAAAAAGTGATATGATGGTTCTGATCGAATTCGAAAGTTCTACAACACATAGCAACGGATGCTTTTCAGGAACTGAAAGATGTAGACGAGTCTGAAATACGAACCAGCGTTCACGCAGGACTGATAGAATTTTTTTGCTTGTCGCATAGGGAGAATATCGGTAGCATCTGGTGGACTCTCTAGCACACCTGAAGCATCCAACATGATTGAATATAATAAGAGAATGTACAAGTCATGAGGGGTGTCAATTTATGACAGTGGTCCCTAACTGATTTGACTATTTAATGTTCAAATTTCCTCAATGTCATCTGTTTCATGGAATCCACAATTCACGTACATCACTAGCATGAACCCTTCAGTCTTGATGATTCCGAAAAAATTGAATTATTTCAATATGCCATAGGGGCTGCTGCTGTGAAGTGAAAAGAGAATAGAACATTACTTTTAAAACTTTGTTCAGTCAGCATCTCCATATATTTTAATCGGGTTAACCGGTTTATGCCTGTTGGAATTGAAGTATCGGGGTTCCAACCACCACAGGTATATTTGTAGAAATCTTGGCATGGATCAATTGTCTTATCCATTGTTTCTGTATAGAACTGCGCAACTTTTTTACAATCGTCAGTTGTACAGGTTTTTGATTCTTCAGGTTCTGAACTGTCATCCGGTGTATCATCTAGCATTGAAGATGATAAAACCAAAGATGCTGTCAACATCGCAAATAGCATCCTAAAAAATAAATAATGCAGAAAACTCAATGAGATTTTATTTTTAATATCTTCAAAACCGCAAGTTAAAGGTTTCTTCATTCATACTATTTTTCATAATGACAGTCATAATTTATATTATTCCAGAAGGCGAAATGTCCGACTTGTATATTTTAGTTCTGATAATATCTTTCGGGGAATATAAATGAATAATCAATTAAGCTAACCATGTGTCTCCGGAAGTTAACATCCTTGATGACGAAAAATATCTTTGCCAGTAGTTTTTTTGACTGATGAAGACTTCGAAAATATCGCTGACTTTATAGTCTCACCGAGCGGGAGGTCTGAAAATGATGGCGTTTTTATTTCGATTTTTATGTGCCACGTGCCACTTCTAATAAGCGATTATGTCTAGGAATATTGATAGAAGTCGAAAATTGTATTTTTTTCGGGTCAATCGGATTAATAAAAAAATCGGCGAAATTCTTCAAAAATTTTGCACGTCTCATCGGCTTGTTATTTACTTATCTAAATGAATTTAACACAGATGATGAGATTATTTCATAAAATGTTACATAATATATTTTCATGTACGTTGTATCGAATTTTGGAAACAAAGCTGACCGAGAATCTGAGTCATTGAGGCGTACTGTAACACCTGCTATCGGACTGACACGTACACAAATATCTGGGAGAAATAAATCTATTATAATCGTTCTAGGAAATAGTCCATCGTACCGTACTTTATTACAAAATACCGGATTCCACTTCACACCAATAGTGTACACCAGCGATTAAAGTTGTCTCGCACGTACTCGCGAAGATATAAAGATTGCTTGAAATCCCGATATAATATTTTTGAAACTATAACAGATGTCTGCAGAACTTCAGATTGATTGATAACGCCATTTTGTGGTCATTAATCCACAAGTTAATGATCCGTGTTTATAACCGAGCCCTTTTCTTTAGTATCAGAGATATTTTCTTATCTCCTGTTCCATGAGGCGTATATATTTTATACTCATTCGAAAGAATTCTGAAAAAATTCTTTTGAAAAAATTCTCTTCAATATAATCCCTGATTTATCCATTAATGGATACTTAATGAGTAATTACTCATGATTTTTGGTTGAGTTACGGGAATTTGAACAATAAAAGAGAATTTTCATGATTTTTTCACAATTCAAATTTTGTTGGTTGATATAATTTTTAAACTTTTTTTATGCTCTTCAAAATGGTATATGAAAAATGTAATTTAGTAGCTTTCCTCAGGAATTATTCAAGATGTCACACCTGAAAATTCACATGTTTGTCCATTTATCGCTGCACTGGACTTGAACAATGGAGATATATTATCGATCAGTTTAAAGATCTCGATGCGATCTCCAAAATGACGTTTGAAATTCTTCATTAAATAGAGTTGATGGAAACTTAAAACGTCAAAACTTGTCTGTCACGTTCTGAAAATATTTTCTTTCTTCATGTAAATGAGCGAGTCAAGTTTTGTTTTTTCCATTTTGGAAATATATCTCATATTCTTTTGAAAGCGTATTAAATGAGCTTAAAGATGACGTTTAATTCGCTTTAGCTGTATGATTTTTTATGCAGTTATGGGAGGTTGAACAAAAATTGTGGTTGTCGAAGTTTTACTTGAATTTCAACTTAACGTGGAATTTTTAGATATTTTAAAGAAAAGTAAATAGGACGATATCAATATCATTTTCGAGATAATTTCCCCATTTCAGAATGGCGCATGTTTGATTAGATTCAGTTACTTTTTCATAGAGTTAGTCAAGCCGTTTCTATCTCCAATCTTATGTAATATCTTCAAATTCCCAATTTTTAATCTTCATCGTTGCTGTGGACTCAATGGATGCAATCTTCGCATTGATGTTTGAAATTTTTTATTTCATGAAGTTGATAGTTCACTCTTTCTTCTACAACTGAAGATATATATGATATTCATTCGGGATGACCCTGAATATGTGTACATGCATGAGGTAGTGACTAAAACCAAGTCTTCTTCTTTAGCTCATGACGATTGACTATTTTTTTTTTCATTAATTTGTTTAAACAATATAATATGTATGCATAAAATCAGAAAGAATATAGTAATTTTCTATGGCTACTACTTCAACTGATTAATACATTGGAATATTAATTGAAAATTAATTTCGATAAATATAACGGATTATAGAAAGGGTCACAAAATGTTTTTACTATATCTGCAGAACATCCTTAACGTGTACGCAAAAACAAAAATAAATAAATGAAAATGAAGTTCATTACTACTTCACTGTACTTACTTCAATTACTTACCAATACTTTCCAGACAATGGAGATTTGAAGCTCGCGGAAGATTTCTGTTATCAATAGCGGAAGAACTCAGGGGTCTGCCGCTCAAGGAGAAATAAATAATTAAAAACTCAAAATGTATACTTTAATGATTTTTAATTAAATGTAATGATTTTTTTTACTTTTTTAGAGCGTAATTAATTCATTCACTAAAGATTCGTTAATTACTTCCTTTTCCCAATCTACAAGTACTTTGACATCTTCGCCGTTACAGCCTCCACCTGGCGACTCCTTTCTTTGTGGATGATGATCGTCTCCATGTAACTTGAAGAAAATTAAAGTACCTTGGTAGGAGACGAAGAACGGGCCAAGGTCGGCCCCGTGCTGGCAGTCTTGGCCCAACTCTGGGCCTGCCATTGGCCAGCTCCCGCCCATTCCTCATGTCTGGCAGATCCTACCCGGGATGCTATAGTTGATAGGATCCATACAGGGATTTACAGATTAGTAAAGTTAAATGATTGAGCGACGCCCATAGTTTTCATTGTCAAAGCGTTTGAGCAATTGAGAATATGAGGAGATCATATGACAATACTGAATAAATCTATGAAGGTTGCTACAGATCTGATTCCACGAGTCGATCTTTTGACTAATGGTAGTCTGGGAAATTTTACTTCCGAATGAAAGCTTTGAAATCGTTCAGTTCTTCGATCGAACGGTTTGAAACGTAAAAATACAAAGTTTGAAGGCCATTTGTGTGTCTGCAGATAGCCACATGATCCAGGTGACCAGATCCTTAATTAGGGGATGGAAGCCCATATAATCCAATATCCAACAACCAGAATGGCGTGATGGACCTGAACTAGACAGTTATCTGTTTCAGTGTTGCATCAGTCATTGGTTTATTCCAGAGACTGATTGACAAATTGCTTGTTGATGTTCCAGGAGTTTGGTTAGACTTGGTGTGCACGGTGCGCGTACGTCAAGCCGCACTTCCCACACACGGGGATGACAAATACGTTTCGATACTCGCCGGAAAGTGTTTTTTAGGGTCCTGGGATTATATCACTCGCCTTCAGCTCATAAACCTCCTACATGCCCAAAAGTACGTTCCCCCAATCGTATTGAAATATTCCATCTCAGTCCGATTGGTGGACGCGTCATTCTTTAAATTTAATTTTAGATCAAACGGTTTTGGTGCTTAGGAAAATTATGGTATTTTTTTTCTTTTTCAAGGCTAAAAGACCTGGAAGAGTTGTGTCAGAGAATTCAGAATCAGTGGAGATTTATCGTTCTAATTTGGACAATAATCACTAGCGGCGTTTAATAATAATCTATCATAATGTCCGGTGGAATTAAACAAACGATAATCCAGATAATATTAGTAATTGGTTAATTACACAACATAAACGTACCTATCAGCAAAGTTCTTGGAATAACAATGGTATAAGCTAAGTTGTAAGCTCGTAATTATTTATATTCAAATTGACATAATACAGTTGCTTGTCTTCCTCCAATTACCAAAAGAAAGACAGAATTGGAGGAGATGGTACCATATTCATGAATATAAAAACAAGCTTTTTTGAGAAACATAAGCCGGTCATATTAGTAACATATAACTATCTTGCACTTGAAAATCTTTATCGGATATGAGAAAAGCCTAGGTCTTAGAAACACAATTCGACTGTTGAATCTTGCCTATAACCAATTAATACGTATATTGAGAGAGAGGGAAGTTCTGTACTCGAGGGTTTTAGGAACACGGTATCATTTAGTGTAAATAAACACATCTCATGTTAACTTCGAGAAGACTACAAATGCGCCCTTAACGTCTTATGCTGTCCTAGGCATTTTTATGAAATTCAATTTCTTCCGATTCCCAATTCGAACAAATAATTCATATATAAAAAAAGGGGGAATGGATGGATCGCCTATGAATGACCATATTTAACAAAAATAAAATATGTACATCATAAAATTATCAATATCTCTTGTGACATAAAAAAATGTCACATCAGTTTCACTGTATGTTTCGCTTCAATATACAGAAAAAAAAATCTCCAACGAATTAATTTGATAAAAATAAGTTGTCTGCTTAATTTATATTCCATCCTCATAGATAGGGCATAGAGAGTCCATTCAAATGTTCTAGACAATATGCAGGATCTATGAGTCATCATGATTTTTTGAATGAATTGTACTGTTCCGTAACGTAAATTTACACAACCAAGTCGTGACTCGAGTTGTCATTAAATTCTGTTGAACTCTGAGTCGACGTAACAATCACCGTCCTGGCTGGTTGCTCTTCAGCTTCTTCATTACACAGTGTTACTGTATGCGGTTTGGTACTGCTTGTTGAACGTTCGATATGGGTTGTGTCTCCTGAGAATTGAAATATATTCCAACTTTATTTATCGCAACGAAGGATATTAGTGTCGTCTATATCAGAGGTGGGCAGCCTCAGGTATGCTCGGAGCTGTAGCCATGATTTTATTAAGATTCCAATTATAAGGGACCTAACGTGATTACAAGGGTTATCGTATATTTGTGTGGTGGGGGTAACATCGGGCGATGGCCCATGCGCGTGATTGAAATGTGAGGGCAAAATGGTTTGAATTTTTGTGTACGTGTTTGGACATTTTCTTTTTGATTGAAAAAAATAGAATTAAAAGATGATGGTTTAGATTCAACATTCATCGATGGAAATGAAAGTGGGATGCTCGTGAACTTGAGAAAAAAAATTGTATCATCAGTTGAAGATTAAAGGACGCCGATAAGTTTTTTGATTGTGAGAAATTGGTGAATTTTACTTTGGCATCGAGACCGAGAAATATAGAAATGAAAAGTTTGAAAATACATGTCAAGTCAGGTCTATTAACAACATGATAATATTTAATAATTGTTTTCCAAAAAATATTTCCACTTCAAGAAATCGATGAAAGGTACGATTTAAAAAAAAAAGTCGATTACAAGCAACCAATAACCAATCAAAAGCATAATAACAAAAAAAACAATGATTGAAAAAATATTTCCATTAGAAAAATAGAAAATGTTTCTATTTCATTTTTCCCACCATCAAGTTTTTGCCGAATATCCCCACTACTCTTGCCTACGTGCAGGGCATCATCGGCCCGAAGGGGGTACAGCCCTAAACTTTATGGCTTGGGACAATTTTGCCTCATGGAGGTCAGGAGCTGGAGTAGTTCCGAGAGCTGAGGTTGCCCACCGTTGGTCTATATACATGGAAAGAGATGGACCAATAAATATTACGGAACACGGAAAAAAATAGGACAAATGTATGGTTTAGGTCCACCAAAAATAATAATCATTGAATTATTAATTTCTCTGACGAAAAATCCATTCTTATCTTCTCAGTTCCCATCAACAAGACGAAAGAAGAGAGTGAAAAACAAAAAGAAGGTAAATACATCGAAAAATAATCCTGAGGTAAACTCTCTTGTCCCTGAAATTCCTTAAACCCCCCTTCCCTCTGCTGTCGCTGTTAGCACGACGAGTGAGTGATATTCAATTCAATAATTTGAATTGCTACAGAAAGATAGCGGCGGATAAATCACTCGTTGTGTTCGGTCAGCGATGGTAGATGGTCGGGTGAGGTGAATTCTGAGTTTTAGCGAAGTGTTCAGGAATATTTGATGAAATCCATCATTCTGTTTGTCCATTGTCTATAAATGTGCCAACATGTGGTGTCTTTGGGGCGGACACACCACCACGTCCTCGCCTCGGCCCTGGATAACGCAGAGACCGGTGTATTAAATGTCATATTTCCCATATTAATTGTCTCCGGATAAAAATGTGACCAGATCCTTAATTAGGTGACGGAAACCCATCCAATCAAATAAAGAACATCCAGAATGGTTCGGTGGACCTGAACTACACATTCACCAAAAATCGGAATTAAATTATATGCATTGCACACAACAATCGATTGCTTCTGGTGGGCCTATACTAGACATTTACCCGTCATTATCGTTATGTCTGATTCTATTCTATAGTATCACTGATCGATCGCTGTTAGGTAGCTTCTTTAGATGATTCCAATTCTCCGATACAACGCGTTGACATGGTGGAAATTTGAATCGTTGAATCGTGTATGTGAGTTATTGATTTATTGTGTTAGTGTGTCGAGTTTTTCTGTCTTATTTACACATGTAATCATTTATTTGATCGTTCAAGTTCTTAAAATTTATTTTTTGAACGTGGGATTAACAATAAATTACCATAAGAAAACTGTAGATCGTTATGAATATTTAATTTGCGTTGATTATGAAAAATCACTTACCATTAATGCTGTGACTGTCCGATACTAAAAACGTGTTGGTCCCTGGCGTATTTGCTGTAGTGCTTCTACTTTCGCCAGATGTGAAGAGAGATATGAATGACTCTCCTGAGCTATCGGACGTACTGGATTCAGGTTGTCCTAGATTCTGTCCCCATCTTGAAAACTGGTTCAAATAGGGCGGAACGTCTTCACTAGCATTTGATGCATCCGAGTTTTGACGAGATAGTGTCCGTCGTACACGGGAAAATGGGTTCTCACGTTGAGGCATGAATGTTCCTCCTTGTGTACCTTTAAGGAAATGAAATCCATTATTTCAAATTTTTCTGTGGTCATTTACAATTAGCATTCATGAAGAAAAGCGGTTGGATTCACGAGTGAGTCTTACTCGTATTACTTGACAGGCCCCGTTCGAAACGCCAGGGCTTGCTGGAAAAAAGACAGTGAGGAAACCAGCATAATCGAAAAACATGACAGTGAAATGGGAATCTTCTCAATCTCGAGTCACAGTGTGTAAAATCGTAACCAAAATAGCGAATCTCATTCCCCTGTATCGCGAATGATAGATGTATCGTTACATTTATTGGAACCGTAAGTTGAATGAATGAAAAGTTCGAATATCAACGGCAGAGCTCGGCGACCTGGGCTCGTCGGGCTCACGCAGCTCCCGAGATTCGTTAGTGAGAGCTGGGGGAGGGGCCTTATCCACCTATACGAAGCTAACTGCTCTCATTCGATTTTTCTCCGTCCTTGAGCTTTGGTTCCACTGATACCGGCAGAGGGCCTCCGTGCGGGAATTTTTAATTTTAAATATAAATATCAATCATTCATTCGAAATGGACAGCAATATTAGGAAAAACATTTTTTTAATGCTTTCATGATGACAAATCACCTTTAACAATTATTTTGTGTCCAGACGATATTCGCAGCAATTCAAAGAACAAAATAGAACAATTGTCCAAAATTCTGCGGTGGGGGGATACCTATATAGTCGTTGTTGAAAAAGAATTCTAACGGCTGACGATGAGAACAGAGTTGAAAAAGCCTTAGCAGTTAACAATGACTTTACTGAGGCTGGCTGACCCTTCCGAGGAGATTTTGGAGGGTGTCCAAAATTAAGGCTGATCAGAGCCAAAGGGCCAGTCGGCCATGATCGGAACAATTCGGGGGTGGGTTCAGACGTCATGAGGTCGAACTGAGCAGTCCAAACACTTCGTCGTTATCAGGCATCAGATATACATGGCAAAATTCGGAGCTTTTCATCATTCGTTTTCGGTGTGATTTTTGATCGGGAGATTATATCATCAACATTATTCTTTTCTTGGTTAATCATCTCTCATCTTTTTCATAGAAAGTTATCATACAATTGAGATCTCTTGGCGAGGTGTAAATAGTCTATATGCCGTGTAATTCATCAATAAACAAATCAGCCTTACGGCTACAATCGCAGGTTTATTTCTCCCTTGGATCTCTCTCCCTCTTCCCCCTTCCTATCCATCCTATCCCGGAAAAAACATTCAAATTCGTACAGACTCGTCCAATTTCAAGCTGCAAAGCATCTATCGACTTAGCTTAGTAACCAACGGCTATACCTATAGGTGAGAGGATTGGCGCATCCAGGATTATGTCGGAATGAGTGGCCGTCGCACGTGTAACGAAATGACCGTGCTGTGCCCGAAATATCCAGACTAGAAGGAGATGGTGCTAGGAGATTTTGGGCAGTCGAGCACGAGTTCTCGATTAGAGCGCCCGCACGACTGCTCGCTGGCTGGAATTTACACGGGTGGAAGACGCTTAGTATAGGAATGATACCTCCACGTCCGAGTACTGTAAATCATGAGGGCGAACATAAGACGATGCTCCTGCCTCTTCCGTGAAATCTTATGTCTCGCTTCAGAACATGCGGTGACGAACTTGTGTCTCCAGAGTTTGCCTGGATGCGGAAGAATTAGATGGCGGCGTGTGGTCCGTAGATTTGGAGTCGAAGGGGCTCCGACATCCGCCGCCATCTTGAATAACCAGAGACAGTAGCTCGCGACAGAACGCGGTAACTGCTGGCTGAGAGGGTGGATGGTCGTAGGGTGGATGGGAAGATATCCACTTTGGTCAGAGCATCCTGAAGTCCTGTAAAGGTCTCCCGTGGAAAGATAGCACGAAAACATGTGCTCGACTTCGCGAGTGCTGGCGTCCGACAAAGAATGGAGACATAGACATTGGTCATAAAGGCCAATTTTCCTGGGTGAAATCCCCGAGATACCGAGATTATGATATCTTCAAAAAACTTATTTTATTTCTTTATAGAAAAATCAATAGGTAATTGAGAAAATCGACACGTGATTGACACAATTAAAAAATTAAAAACTTGACCCCAGATCATAATTGAATTGAACTTTCTAGAAGAATAAATTTTAACGCATAAAAATTGAAGCGGATCAATATAAATTCCGGTTGATCAATCACTTGAGTTTGTAATGAGATTGAATATGAATTTTCTCATTTTGAATAATAATCTAATGAGTACCTTGATGTCCATCTCTAATGAGAGGCGTTGTATCATCCCCATCCGAATCACTTTCAGTGTCCGTTAAAACACGTTCATCAGCAGCAAAAACTTTTCGTTTGCAAACCGGGCAGACACGTTTGTTTTTAGTCAGCCATGGATCAATGCATTTGGTGTGATAAGCTAGAATAGGAGTATGAAGGAGATTATAATAAATATTTCAAAGATTATCGAAAAATCAAGACATTCAATTTCCAACAGTATGAAAATATATACAGGTAATCCCATGCCAAATGAATGAATCGCTAACCGTGACCGACTTAGAGATTCGTGTCGTGTTCTTCTATGATAGGAGAGCAAGAAAAATTGTCCCTGAATGTATGAAGAAAGGACAAGAAGTTTTTCTAGCTCTCCATTCGTATGAAGAAAAGATCAATTTAGTTGCTCGGTTGGGATGGGATATCCCATATTGGAAACCTACCATGAGCGCACGGTAATACACGAAGTTTCTCGCCCTCGGCATAATCATCAAGACATATGGCACAGGTTTCATAAGGATCACCTTTCGTATACTTGTGCGTTGGTATTTTCTTCAAACTTGAATTGGGTAATCTATGTCTATGTTGTCTTCTCCGATCTTTGATACACCTCACAACCTGTGAAAGACGTCAATAATCTCTTGTCGTAATACAATTTTAAAAACACTTTTAACGAAGGGAAATCGAGAATATTCCCTATACATGCTTCAGTTCTCTGAGAATATAGGAAATTAATCAAAATCTTTAAAGGAAAAAAAAATTAATATATATTTCGCATATATTCTGTTCTCCGTGCGGGATTTTTCAATGAAAATGTATTCAATTCGGGTTCTTATGAAAAAATCAAAAAGGTTTCAACAAATCTAGGCAAATCCTGAAAATATATTTTACTGCAATGGAGTTTCGTACACAGATAAACAATGGTGAAATGGATCAATACTCTATTTTTAGACGTCGATTAAATCCATATTTCGTAACAAAATTTCTGATTTGATGTTTCTGATTTCCTCTAAACCACGTGTCACCACTCGATGCAATGGACTCTATTCTATTCAATATATCGCGTGATGAGCCTTGACAAACCGTATAAAGCAACACCATAAATATTAATAATTGGAGCAATGAAATGTCTACAATTACGTTTTGATTATTCATGATTCCAGGCAATCAGATTGAACTATTGGGGCCTATTAAACACTTGAGAAATGAAAAAAAATTCCGGGACAAATAGCTGCACAGGTAAGAATCGATGATAAAAACAGAACTGATTGAACTGCCTTTATACTAGGGTTTTTTAAACTCCAAAATGATAACCTCGTTTGAGATTTAATCATTGAAGCTCAGGAATGCCAGCACAATTGGCAGAAAAATTGTTTTTGGCTGAGTGACGATCAATATTTTTCCTTATGCAGTCCTTAGACAAGTCCTTATTTCAGTCACACGTCTGTAATACTTCACCTGTTTTATGTTAACGGAATGAAATAGTCAGAAGATATAAGCTGAGGGCAACGTCAACTCTGGGTAGCTGTCCCACATTATTAAATGAGTCCGATGTTCTGAAAATGATTTTGTCAGAAAGTCTTACCATGGGATTGCTTAGATCAGCATTTCGAGTTCTCCAATCAGCTAGAACTCCAAAGAGAGAGTAGATCACAATCAAAGGCGAACGTGGATACTCGGTCCGACCTCTGGAGTCTCATAGCATTCAACCAAGCTATACTGAGCTCACAGTATGACACTAAGATGTCACAAATAATCAACCACATTCTAACAGGTAGATTTGAAATATTGTCTCTGATGTTGAGCAAGTTAGTCTAGAAGTACCTGAAGAGTGAACTCCCCGCTAGCTCAACACAATTGGCTAGCCAGAGGAAGCATCAACTGGCAAGCCGAGGTCTATCTGAAAAACCTCAATGAGGTGAGAACCACCAACGTCTTAATATCTTTCCTTGAAAAGTACTCATTCTATATATGAGAAAACAACATGAGTCGTCCCAGCTTGTAGACGAAATGCCCTTAGTACTGGCAGGCCAGATGCAGAATGCTGTCATTCTTGGATCTCTCAGACTACTTAAGCAGCACGATTCTGGACTGCAGTACAGCTTACCCTCTGGTTGGAGGGAGTGTTACGGTAATAAGATTGGGACTAGTTTGTATCGCTTAGCTTACTGAGCGGTCTTCGAGGTGAAGCCAGCGCCCTTGAAGATCATTCAGTGATCATTTTTATGAGAAAAAAAAAATAATAGGTCAAGACACCACCGTTGGGCAACCCATTCCCCTAGATCCTTCTATTCTTTCCCCGCCGTCACTAACTCCCGAGAACTCACAAATATCGCTTTAACGAATGGTGCCTCTCGTACAACAGTTTCGCCCGAAGAACCCCAGCAACTCTCCTTTCTGTTGTTGCAGGCAATAAAAAAGTCTATGCGAACCGTCAATGAAGGTATTCACCGGCTTACAAGAATTAGTATCTAGACTTCTGGGAAGCATCTCAGATCGACGTATAAAAGTCTAACAACATGATGCCAGCACACAATAAGGCGCCCCAAAAGCTCACCAATGAAAGGCGCTAAAGGTCGGAGCAGCAAGAAGGTGCTACTAGCCTCAACCACTGGTAAGACACGCAGAATTCCCTTATGCATACGGTGCATGAACTGAAGGCTGACCTTATGATGAGTTCGGAGCGATATCGACATCCTCACACTCAATATGGGGTTACTGAAGCCAGCGGATAAGCAGTAATCTAAGCTTGTGGAAACCTTCCTTTACAAACACCGCGAGCAGTAACACACAACATTAGTTCGTGATTCCGAAGGTTGATGGAATTTATTTCTACATCTACTGTCTCCCACCTAGTCTTCTCATTGATAAATTCACAGACTTACGGTGAATGCGAGGCAACACTTTCTCATTGTGATTGATGGGGATATCAATGCTTGGGGAGTAGAGTGGGACAGTAAAGTAACCAAAGCTAGGGGACAGGCTGAACTGGCAACCATGTCAACACCGGACGTGATACTACTAAAAGGCGCAGAAAAACCAACCTTCATCCGGCGGAAGACGAGGTCAATTGTGAATCTTTCCTTTGTGAGTATCACTTTCGCCGGAAGCGACTGCTCATACAGAGTAACTCATAATATACGGAAAGTCACCACCGAGGGATACACTGGAAACATCTGCGTTAATCATAAAGCCGAAATAACAGCAAAGACGAACGAGATTGGCTCAAGAGTGAGCACATTCGATCTTGACTCTTATCCCTCGGCATTAGATGATTATCCCATTAGTAGCGACGATGCAACTGAAAAGGCACGAAACAACATGAAAAGAGTGGCCAAAGCCGGTGATGGCACTATGGCGACAAGACGGACAAAAAATCCGCATTGAACGGTGTACTGATGGAGTGAAACAATCGCCATCCTCCAAAAGGAGTGTAATAGAGCTAGGAGGTTTTTCAATGAAGACATGAAGTCGAACACTGAGGAATTACATAGGAAGTACAAAAAAAACCCCGAAAGCTCAGCAAGGCCATAAAGCTCGGCAAGAAGCAATACGTTGAGTTGAAATTAACGAAATAAATGTTAATATTATACACCTGCAGAAAAGGGTGGGTAGTGGATTCTGTCAAAAGTCTTCAGTCGGATCCTACCAAAAGTATAAAAATGACGAATTTTAGTTTTCAACAGGTTCAATTCATTGAATTCACCACGGTACGTGTACGGCACGGTACGTGTCATTACCGCTAATTAGAAACGGAAATGCCCAAAAATTGGTTCAATATTTTTTTTTGCTGAATATACCTTTTTACTTGTAAATTTTCGTGGTAAAGATTTAGTAGATTCACACCATGGATATCCCTCTGACCCGGATTGAATGGACCGCGAGACTCGTGTTTACGATCAGTAACTGCCCGAATAAACACCGTCAATGGCCTCATGCCTATCGTTGTTCCAAAATATGAGAAATCGGATTCAGTAATCGGTTTAATTTCCTCTTGAGTGATGGTTAATGTGAAGTGGAAAATATGGGTCTCGGGTCTTTACCCGGATGGACACTCAGCCATCTTTGTATTGTCTATTGTCTCTAAGTATATCAACAAGTGATATCATAGGGCCAGATACAGTCTGGCCCTGAATGCAAATATGATGCAGAGAGCGGTGAAGTTAGGGCATTTAACTGTTCCATTAAAATTTCTACACTTGTAAGCGTGTACGAAGGTAAATAAAGAATGTATAGACACAATCGTGTGAGACTCGTGGAAAAATTCTGATCTGACTTAAAGCCAGAATGCTGGAGTGAATCTACTAAATATTTACCGTTTCCGCCAATGATTCCATTAGAGCTTATTATCTAGAATTTTTTTGTGCAACTTTCTGAGCGCCGTGAACAGTAGAGCTACGAAATTTAAAGTTACTATTTCTGTAATCATTATGATAACTACCAGATCTATTTGAGAAATACCACTAATAATTATAGTATGAATTTCACACACGACTAATTACTCACCATGAAAATTACCATAGCTAAAAAACATATACCGACGACGATCGCAAACGGCAGCAGTAAATGTGTATTAATGTTGAATGGTACGTCATCGTTAATCACCACAAAAAAGTGACGATTATAAAGATAATGAGCTTTTATTATTAGTCCACTTATTTCACTGACAAATACTGAGGGAATTATTATCCCTATTGGATCCTTGGCTGACATCGGCTCTGAAAAATAAACAAATATTATTATAAATAAGATGGTAATTGCATTAGCCAGGGCGAAAGCTGTGGACGTGGCGGTATGTCTGACTCCATGACAACACATGTGGATGCACTTTAAGTCTTTAAGACAATGGACAATCCAAAGATGTATGGGTATAGGCATGAGGAAAGTTAATAAATATTTAGTAGATCAATAACAGAGGAAGATTGGCTGGAACACTTTCAGAAACTACTGGAAGCAGAGGAGAAACAGGAGGAAGCAAGGAAAAAAACAGCAAAAGGCGAGTAAAGGGGGGAAGAGAAGAGAAGGGAGGAGCAAGAAGGAACCACAGGGAGAGAGAAAGTAATAGAGATAAAAGAGAATGAACTGGGGAAAGAAATAACAGACCGGGAAATAGCAACGGTGATAAAGGGACTCAAAAGTGGAAAGGCAGCAGGTGAGGACGGAATTACAGCGTAATTCTGGAAAAATCTACCAGAGGAAGGAAAAGAGGAGCTGGGAATAACAATAAAGGAGCTATGGAGGAAAGAGGAGATGATAGACAGGTGGAGATTGGCGACAATATACCCGATACACAAAAAAGGAGACCCGAACGAAGCGACGAATTATAGGGGGGTATCACTACTGGACATTGGGTATAAAATACTCTCAACGATTATGGCTAGAAGCCTGGGGCAGTGGCTGGAAGAGGAAAAGAAACTATCAGAGGCGCAGGCAGGATTTCGGAGGGACAGAGGGACGATAGAACAGAACAGGGAAAGGAGTCAGGCAAGGATGCCCTCTAAGCCCAATCCTCCTTACTATATTCATACAGGATCTGGTAGAGAGTTTAGAAGGGAAAATGGAAGGAGGGATGCCAATAGGACCGGGGGCATGAGTAAAAGTATATGCACTGATGTACGCAGATGACGCGGCAATAGTAGCGGAAGAAGGAGCAGAATTAGGAAAGATGCTGAAAACACTGGAGAGATGGGCGGACAGAAACAAGATGGAGGTGAGTGTTGAAAAAACAAAAATAATGGTATTTAGGAACGGTGGAAAGAGAAAGGCAGAGAGATGGAACTACAAAGGGAGGGAAATAGAGGTGGTAAACGAGTTTAAATACCTGGGCTTCTGGTTCTCGGTGAAGAACTACTACACAAGGCACACGAGGAAACTGGCAGGAAAAGGACAAGCACTGGTGAATAAGGCCTGGGGCGAGCTAAGAAGAGGCAAGGTAACGGAATTAAGGAAGAAACTATACTTCATGGAGGCAACGGTGAAAGCAGCGGCGTTATACGGGGTGGAAATATGGGGATGGGGAAAGCAGGAGAAAATAGAAAGAGTGCAGAAGAAATACGCAAAGGCGAGCATGGGACTCGCGAGGAACACACCGGACTACATATGCAGAAAGGAGGCAGGACTAAGCAGCATAGAAGTAGAAGCGGTTAGGAGGGCAGCAAACCTCTCGATAAAACTAAGTAGAATGAAAGAGGACAGATGGCCGAGAAAGTGTCTAAGGGAGGAAATCAGGGGAATAAGGAACGGACAACCGACTAACTGGGGAAAAGGAGTGTGGGAGAGGCTAAAAGAAGTAGCAGATGGAGAGTTACTGGAGCGGTTGTGGAAGGGAGAAGGAAAAGAGGCGAGAAAAAGGGTAGAGGAAATTACGGAAATAGTAGCGGACCAAAAGAGGCAGAAAGACTGGGAAAGGATAGATGAATCGAAATACTGTGACTACTATGGTGATATAAAAGAGAACATCGGAATGAGCGAATACTGGGCGAGCAAGAGGCTAGGCATGGAACAAATGATGACGTGGGCAAGATGGAGATGTGGGAACATATTGAGAGGAGGGAAGAAGGGCTTCGAGAACGGACGATGCAGAGCATGCGAACAGGAGGAAGAGGTACTGGAGCATGTGACCAACTGCCAGGAACTAATGAAAAGATTAGGAAAAGAGGATGAGGAGTGGTGGGAAAATTGGAGAGAAGGGAGGGGACCGAGAGGATGGAGAAAGAAATTGATCGCGGATCTAAGAGATAAACCAACAAAAAAAAAGTGGACAGAATGGGAAGAATAGAGAAAGCATTGAGAGAAAAAGAATGGAAAGAAAAGCAGCAGAGGAAAGAGAGGGAGGCAAGGAAGCGAAGTGAAGCAGAGAAGGAAGGAGAAAACGGGCGGACGGAGAAAGGAAAGCAGAAAGTAAGGAAAGGGCAATGAAGGGTGTAGGAGGGGAACAAGAAGCAGAGGGAAAGAGTGAGACAAACCAGTGGGAAAACGGAGGAACTGCTGGCAATTGGAGAGGGACGGGAAAGGTGAAGACCAGGAGGGAGGGGGGAGTGCAATAACTGTGTACAAATAAAGAGACAAAAGGCTAATGAGGATGTCAAACAAAATATAAATAAATATTGTAACATCAAGGAAATAAAGGAATTAATACTAGACACGTAGCAAAGCTAAATTGAATATTTAATAAACTGCGGAATCGATGCTGTGACTTGACTGAGAATTGACAATCAAAACAGTTCAACAAGTAATTAAGGCTCCCTCTCTATCCCATCTCGCCCATTACGCGGGCTTGTATAAAACAATAAAGAGCAAGTGCGACACAGCCCGGTAGCATTGATTTCCGATTCGGCAAGTTTGCAGCATGAAAGTTAACACTCATCACAAATGTCCGCTCACAGGAATTATGCAGCAAATTAATATTCATAGAAGTTCAGCTTAATCGTTACATAGTAATCTTCGAATTTAATGATTATAGGAAGGATTCGTTTTCGTCCAGTCGAAGCACTTCACGATTAGGGAAACTATTACCGGTTGCTAGTAAGTCGCTGAAAACTGACGGACCATCAGTAATAATAACAGATGTTTTTTTTATAACTGAAAGGTTCTCTATGCATTTCGGTAACATTACGTTGTATCTTTGTTACGGTCAAATTCCAGATGTCGTGCACAATTATACGAATAACATGCCCATTGGTAATTGAGAATAGTTAAAAATTGTTACTTACATTCGATGAAAGTTTAATTTAATAACTAGTAGAGTTAATATACTTATTATTCAATGTACCTAATTCATTACTATTGACGTTATGGACTATGGCAGCATCGTAACCGGCTTCCTGTGCCATACGAATTTTGATCTCAAAGCTGCAATTGTATCTAGCTATTAAGGCAATCCAATTTCCATTGTAACTCGTATTTTTTGGTGGTGGTGCGATCACAGTACAGGCTGTAGGCGGATCAGCATATGCGATAACTCCCTGAAATCATTAATATTAGGACCTCAATTAAAGTTTGACAAGAGATTCAGAAGGAACTCGTAGAAATTGGCAGGAATTTATGTTCAGTCTATAAAAATTCGCACGAAAACACCCAAGTGCGGAAAACATCCAGATCAGCTCAAGACAAGCTACTATCCACTTGATGGCAGGACAGATCTATCTTTCTTTCAGAGAAGTATCCGCGGGTGACCGAGATAGTTAACAATAACTATGATTTTATTGAAACAGATATTATAATCACAGGTACCTCATTGAAGATGATTATGAAAGAAGAATTGATTTTGCTAGGTTTACTTCGATTTTATATAGCGTCCGTATGTTACAGTTGGTCAATTAAGGTGCATGTGGAATGTCGTCCACATCTACCATCATGCGCTACGTCACCATTGTGAGTCAGTCATGTTTCACTATGTCATGCGAAAACGTGGATTATATTTCGCATCACGATATTAGCAGGAATTCTTTTTTTATGTGGCGATTGATTAGGAATTTTTAAAGCTGATTAGATCTCACCATTCTACCCGGCCAGGAATCGAACCTGGAACCTACCCGTTGTGAGGCAACGACCTTAACCACTACGCCAGGCCACCGGGCCATAATAGCAGGAATGATTAAAAGATAGAAAGAATGACTTCTACCACGAGAATCAAGATGAATGTTGAGAATCAAGGTTGTATGTTTCTAAGAACTGGATTTGAAGGAATAGGACTTTTAGGACTTTGCTTTTTTCATTGCGGCGAGGTAGATCATGAATAACGCACATAAGTAACGAAAATCGTCTGATACGATACGGTATGTCTCACCCGGTGATGAGTAATTTTATGTTCCTACTCCGCGTTCAAGAACTTACGTAATAATTCGATATTGTACGGGCCTTCTATGTAAAACTGAATGTAGCTAACTCCTAAAAGAAAACGGTATTCGAATAAATTTCTAAATAAAAATTATATTTAAGATTCGAAGAAGAACAAGTAACACAAAATGTTGTTCGAGCATAAATGTTTATGCTGGGATACTATATTTTTATCAAATAGCAACCAAAAATGTTATCACTACAAAAGTTCTTCCGTTTGATGGGACGAATTCAGACCTGCCGCCTTATATTTTGATCTGCCCATTTTTCGGCGAAATATACATTCGTAAATCAGACTTTCTTTGCGTCACCCAGGATGCACCACGTGGAGGTGAAGTCTGCTTGGCATCCCTTACGCTGTGAAAAGAGGAATAAGGAGCGCTACTGGATAGTCCTTTACTCGAATAATGTCAGAGCAAAACTTCAATGTTCCGACCATTTACTTCAAGATACAGCTCAATTCGATGTCAAACACTTTGCACCGCATTTTGAAGCAGGTATTCTCGTGAATCTAGGTAATAGGGTGTCTGATATTTGTTTTCGAATCTTCTATAATTGTGGAGGTGGATTGTTGGAGTTTTGTAGACTACCTCTTGGATATAGCCCCATTAATGGAGTGCAGTAAGGTCGCGTGATCGTGGAGGCCATACGACATCTCAAGTAGGGTTTCAGTATTCGTCGAGCCTTGGTCCAAACCTGGTATGCCAATCGCCAGTACTGGCCGTCTATTGGCAAATTGAATGGTCGACCATTGGTCCAATAAAGAAAGCAAACAATGACAGGTCAAATATAGAGACCATGTCGAGCCCAATATAGGTTGCAATTTTGGCCCACAATTAGACCAAGACTTGATTGCCAAGCTTGGCACTCGGTCGATTAATGAATAATCCATACTTTAAAAAATTATAGAACGAAAAAGTAATTGATGCATCGGACGCTCATTTTCCTATTAGTTATAACTTGCAAAAACCGATTTTGCTAACTTAAAATATTCCGCTTACGGTTGAGTTTGAACTCGGAACCCTTCGCATACTAAACCTACGACCTAACCACGAGGCTATCGCACTATTTTTTTTATTTTAAAGAGTTTATTGCCATTATATAGATATATGCAGAATATGTACAAGTAGTAATGGTTAACAGAGTAGGTATTTAGCCCGTGGCTCTTTACCTAATATAATAAGGTTTAATGTAATATATTAATTAACTAGGATATGTTAGGTCATCTGATCATGACTTTCAGTACCTTTTTTTCAAAAGAATTTTAAAAATTACAAAAATATTGAAAATTCGGCTGTTGTTATAAATTTGAGAAATTTTACGAAAGGCATAGACAATAACTAATTATTTTCTTCAGCATTTGCCATCTTCGATTTCATTCACCTTTCAGCAATATTTTGCAGCTTTTCAAAATTAAAAAAAATCTTTTGGCAAAATGTTGACAAAAAGTCCCTGTAAGTCACAGTCAGATCAACTAAGATATCCTCAAACTCGAAGATTTGATGATGCCCAAAAAAGTTTTTTTTACATACGTCCTTGTATTTACGATACCAATCACAGATTTTACGTGATTGAGACGTCGTAAATGACGAGGAAGGAAGCGTAATTCACAAGGTCGGAACTTGTAATTCACGATATGGGTCCCCGTAATTTACGGGATCGATCTTGTAATTTACGGCATTTCTGGGCGTAATTTACGTTCCTAACCACGTAATGTACGGTATCGAAAATCCCGTAAATTATATTCTAAATCTCGTATTTTAAATATGATGTTTTCTGTGTGAATAAACCCCACAAATTTGAAATTTTTTCATCATAACTTATTGATTTAACTCATTTCTCTTTTTATGAGGCCCAAGGTTGTTACAAATATTTTGGCGAATTTCCCCTTCATATAAGCGGAAATATCAGTGGTGATG